AACAGACTACTCAGGGAATAAAACAGAGTTTATATCACATACTTTGAGCACCAAGACTAAGGAATTATTTTTTTAACTCAATTCTACCATATTTCATTCCTACCTGATCATCAACCTGGGGACAAGGCTCAGCAGTTAAGAGCGTTTACTGTTCTTGCAGAGAATGCAGGCTTGGTTTGTAGCATCCACGATGGATAACAACCACCTGTAACTGATGCCCTTGTCTAGCCTCTGCAGGCCACTGCACCTACGTGGGGCATATACAGTCACTTAGTCTTGCATACATACACATAAAGCTTATGGCATCTATGAGACTGAGTTAGATGAAATCCCAGAGAACGCAAATACAATTATATGCTGTGGGACATGATCTTTTATCTGTCACTTGAATTATTGTTAATAAAATGGTGATTGGCCCGTAGCCAGGTAGGAAGTATAGGCATGGTGACCAGGCAGGAAGTAGAGGCGGGACAATGAGAACAGGAAAATTCTGGGAGGAGAAAACAGTCAGTCTGCAGTTGTGACCCAGCCTCAGTGGAAGCAAGATGTGACTGCCTCGGCGAAAAAAGTACCAAGCCATGTGGCTAACATAGACAAGAATTATGGGTTAATATAAGTTATAAGAGTTTAAGAAGCCTGAGCTAATAGGCCAATCAGTTTATAATTAATGTAGACCTCTGTGTGTTTATTTGGGACTAAATGGCCGTGGGATCCGGTGGGATAGAAACCTCTCAAACAATTATAAATATGTTCAAAGACACACATATCTGATGAAGTAAGAAAGGCAGTGGATAATATGAAAGACGAATTAAACAAAGAGAAACTTAGGACAGCTCAAGGGAAGGACAGAATATCCGAGTTTGAAGACAAGAGGGAAGAACAAGGACAATCCAACAAAGGCAAAGATAAAATAGTAAAAAGATACCGGTGGGAACTTCAAGATATATATGACATTTGGAAGGGCCAAATCTATGGTTATAGGTATAAAAGAACCACCTCAGTCTAAAAGTACAAAAAAGTTTTCAAAAAATTAAAACAGCCCAGTAGTAGGAAAATGCCAGTTCAGCTACAGGAGGGATTTAGGGACTTAAGACACCAAAACAATAGATGAAACCTCCCCTCCTCATATTAAAATGAATGAAAAGAACTAACATATAAAATGTACTGAGAGAAATGCTAAGCCTATAACTTATATAGGTAGGCACATCAGAAGAACAGATTATTCAAGTAAACTTTAAAACCAGGAAGGCCTGGACAGAGACATGCATTTAACATTCTGAAAGACAACTGTCAAGCTGGCGACTATACCAACTGTACCATGGTGGCCCCGCAGGCTCTTGTGTTTGGATACCTGGTCTCCATATGGAGGAGCTCTCTGGTGAGGCTGTGGAATGTTGAGGATATGGAGCCCTGCTGGAGGAAGTACAACATATGGAGGAGCTTTGAGGGTTTGCGCCACATCCAGTTCCCTCTCTACTTCCTGTGTGCAGCTGAAAATGTGCCCAGGCAGCTTCCCACTCCTACTTCCCTGCCTCCCCCACCATGACTGACCCTCCCTCTGGAATGTTAAGCCAATATAAATTTTTCAAAGTAGTCTTTGGTCATGGTGCTGTATTACAGAAACAGAAAAGTAACTGATACATATACATTTAGCAATGTTTGTCTCTCATAACTGAAGAAAAATCAAAAAATTCCTATGATAAAAATAGGCTAAAGGAACGGAATGTCCACAAGCCAGCTCAGCAAAAAATACATTATGAAATCTTTCTGACCAAAGGGAAAAACAAACACACCCCTGTAGTCCCAGGGAAGACAACCCATGTTAGGATAATACTTAAGTGAGAGAAGAGAAAAAATACCAAACACCAAGAAATCAACACGATGATGTCAGGGATCAATATACAGCTTTTAAAAGTTACTGAATGTTAACAGTCTCCATCAAAAGACCAATTAGCTGTGCCAAAAAGCAGAGATTATGTATTAGTTCTATCAACTGGACTTGGGTTAGTTAAGAAAAGACATGAAGTTGGGAAAGGAACATGTGTGTGTGGGGGCAAGTTTGGGGGAGGGAGGATGTCAGAGTCGGGTACGGATAAGGTCAAAACACATTGCATGCATGTATGAAATTCTGAAGGAATCAATATAAATTTTAAAAATCCAGGTAACTGGTGAAATCATCCAGCTACTGGACCATCCATCAAAAGGTACCTCAGATTCTTTCTCTTTTATGTTCTCAGTTAAGACTAACAATCGGGGCTAGAGAGATGGCTCAGTAGTTGAGAGCATTTGTTGCTCTTCCAGAGGACCAGAGTTCAGCACCCCATGTCAGATCGTTCACAAGTGCCTGTATCGCCAGTCTCAGGAGACCTGACCCCCTCTTCTGGTCTCTGATAACACCTGCATACATGTGGTGCATATACACATAAACATCTAAAAAGTCTTTAAAGTTAATAAACAAGTATTTGTGATCAACACCAATAGATCATTAACACAGTAAACTAATGTGTGCATATATGTACACATACATGTTGGGAACCGAACCCAGGACCTTGGGGATACTAGGCAAGCACTCTACCACTAATCAATACCCGCAGATCATATGCTGTGACTAAAAAAATATGATTACATTTACTATGGTATGAATTCATGCCAGAGCACATGCGGATGTCACAGGATAGCCTGTAGGTGTCAATTCTCTTTCCTTTCATCATGTAGGTCCTGGGTCTCGAACTCAGCTCATCAGGCGTGGTGGCTAGCATTATTATTGCTGAACCATCTTGCTGTTCCATAAGTTGTGGTTTTTGAATGACTTATTGCTACCATTGGATCACAGAAAAACCTAACAGCAAGGCTGTACTTACTATCTAAAAAGAACTGAAAACGACCAACAGTGACTCCAATTGGCCATTTGTGTGGTTTGTGGTGTATTTCAACCTTCTGCATTCCACGAGTTAGCTATTAAAACTTGAAAACATTTAAATATTGACAACTCTTTGTAGACGCTCCCACAAATATTTAACCAAAACTAAAGTAGAAATACTGAATACCTTTATTAACTGCTCAGAGTACAGTGGGTGTGAGAAACAATGAACCTAGGAGATACATACTCCAGCAAGAGAGAATTTATGATAAAAATTTAGATGTCGCTTTGGAATACAGAGAGGATTTGTGAAATCACCAAACGTGTCTGGTTCCAGTGGGCAGGGCTATAGAGTGGCTTACATTCATCCTGTAACCAATCACATGCAAAAATCAGTTACTTTTTTTGACTGTAGGATTCTTTGAGCACTTCACTGCTGTAGAATGACTCTCAGTATCTTTGTTTTGTGCAGTGTTAATTTAAATTATCTCTACTGTTGCAATTTGGTCAAATTTTATTTGTATTTGAAGACAGTGCAGCATTTTCCTTTCTTAGTTCATTTACTTGTATAAAAGTGAACATTAAAAGAATAGAAAAACGTTTTCAAAATTTACATCTGTGTATGGGGTGCACCTGGTGGTCAGTGGACAACACATGGAAAATGGCTCTCTCCCACGCTGCGCGTTTCAATGACCGAAATCAGATCATCAGCCTTGGTGTCAAGTGTCTTTCCCTGTTGAGCTACCCTGCCCACCCTGAAAAGCTATCTACACAAAGTCCGTTACCCACTAAGGAATGTGTCTAAAAGATGGCAAACGAACAGTTAAATAATCTGTCAAGCAACTAGAAACATGTGACGTAAATGAGATAAAGCTCCAACTGGAATTTTATCAGCGAAGTGAAGAACAATTTTTAATATTATCTTAATAAATATGAAAAGTAGGAAAGAACCCATATACTTGTTTAAATGTGAAAGATACACTCTTACTCATTTTGTGTGTACATGTGAGGTGCACCATGTGCATGCCGGGTGCCCGAGGAGCCCAGAGGTGCTCAGAGTCTCTAGGACTGGAGCCAAGCTATTTAGAGTCACCAGGAGGCGCTGGGAACCAACCTAGCAGGACCTCTGCAGGACCAGCAAGCGCTCTGAACTTTGAATTTTGCCCTCTAGCCCGCCCAATATTCTTACACATATCCCAGGTGTTACCACTCTTTTGTCTGTTAATTCCTTTTACACAACGTGACTTATTTCAAGACCCTCAGACCCCAGAAACTCTGATTTGGTTTCTTATTACTCAAAACTCATGGGTAAAACAAATTCCCTAGGAAAATACTGGAGGAGGGACTTTGGGGAAGTAAAGGTGATTGCCCTGCAGGGAACTAAGAGCCTCTCCTACCTCACCAGGCTCCAGCAGGGAGACCTCAACTATGAAGATGCCTCCACCTAGCAACAAATCTTTACTGCCCTGAGGAGAATGATCTGTAACAAAAGAAGGAAGTAGAGGCCAGTGGCTAAAAGAACAAAACCTCATTTCAACAAGCTGTAATCCCAGCTTGAGGATCCTGAGTTTGGGGCTAGGCTGGGTTACATTGAAAGACATCCCTAAAAACAAACAGGCAAGCTGAGCTAACTTCCCACTGCAACTAGTCCGCATTTAGACCTTTGCGACTGTTTCCGTAGTTAGTATGATACAGTCACTGTTCAAAAGGCAGATATTTAATAAAAGACCACAGGATGGGAGAAAAGAAACTTGGAACTTTGTTTTCTGATCCATATATTTCAGTATAAAATAACCCGGTAATGCCTACCCAAATAATTTGACTAAGATTTATAGCTTTTTCTCTCGCACACACACACAAAAATCACTTTGGGGCTAGAGAGATGGCTCAGTGGTTAAGAGCACTGACTACTCTTCCAAAGGACCTGGGTTCATTTCCCAGCACCCACATGGCAGCTCACAACTGTCTATAACTCCAGTTCCAGGGGACGTGACAACATGGCAAAACACCAATGTACATAAAAGAAAAATAAATAAAAAATAATCAGAAATATTGAAAAAATAAAACAATTCACTTTAGTGATGATTACTGTAACCATTACTAATTTTAATTTCAAATAACAACAGAAATTAGATGATCATTAATCTTTCTGATAATTTTATTTTACTACATAGATCTGTACTTCTCGTGATCCAGGAAACATTAAAAATCTAAAATTTGTTCTTAAAAATACAATATTGCACTTAATTTTTGGCAATTTAATTGAGAGATATCTGAGTAAAAAAACATACATGTACAATTTTTGTCTTGATTTAAAATCAACAAAAAACTCTGTGTAAAGTACAGCTTACAGAAGTGCCCCCAATCAAATATGTACAGTGTAGATGGAACATTTCATCCTTGGGGGGGGGTCCAGTGTCCTGCTAGGGATACCGCCTGCCAAAGCCAAGTGCTGCCTGTCTCAGGTCTGCTGACCACATCTAAGCCAAGGGGTATTGGTGAGAAACTCTTCTGAGATCTTTGTCGAGATAACACATGCAATGGAAGTTTGTTCTCAGAGCAGCTGAGCTCATGATACTGTTCCCTAAAGGACCTGAAAAAACTGTCCTCTGGGAACTGAGATCCCAAGCTAAGAACCCCTTTCTAAATAGTTTCTCTGTACCTAACATTACAGATGTACACGCTAGTTGACATGTTATTTTAGGTCGGCTTTCTGTACTCTTTCTAAGATGTATGAAGATACTGTAGACATAGAGAATACTCTTGTTAGCATTCATGAGGCCGTGTGTATGTCTGACCCCTGTGACTACCAAATGAATAACACTGAACATGTATCTGCTAAATTACTGTTACCTTTCTTTACAGTGCAGTAGGTGACATACATTTACACTGACCCAGATTTGCTATTTCATTTTTTAATTCATAATTAGGTAAACATTATAGAAACCTACTTTTTTTCCTGTCATCTTAAAAACTTGATCGATTAGAAAGGCAGTTTTGAAATAGCTATTCGCAAAAACAGACACCAAGGTTTAGACCTACTCAGCAGTGTACTAAACCTTCAAAGAATCAAAAGGAACATAAATAGAAAACATTTAAAATATAAATATATGACAGACATTTATTTTTGGCACCACTAAAAACATCTGGCAGCATTTTATACTTCCCATCTCCTTGGGGATCCCGAAAACTCCTACCCATAACTTTCTTCTCCTCGAGAGGAGACATGATGCATGGGTGAGAACCGAGCATTTCAAAAGCAAAGATCTCTTTTTGTTCTGTCCTACGGGGGCTGCACGTGAGTAGCCGTCAACCTGCCTTCGCACTTGACTCCTACCAAGAAGCAAATTTTAAACAGTGACGTCATCTTAAACTCCCATGTACCATTTGCATAGTTCTGCTATGATAAAAGTCATAGAAGTATAAAGATATTAATGCATCTTATCTTAGCTGTAACAGACGATTAACAACAGTCTATCTTGGATGTGTTAGTGTAAACTTAACAGGGGAAAAAACAGTCAATAGCAAAAAGTTATCTTTAAAAATAGGTTAATGCTAAGAATAGTAGCTTTAAAGTTTTGTTTAAAAATAAGCTTAATAAACAAGAATACAAATCAGTTAAAACTCAGCTCTTTGAAATGCCCTATTTCTTGCTTACAGCAGAAAATACGTATTTCATAGTTTTCAACATTACATGTAAAAATGAGGCACTGTTATACATAGTTGAGTATATTCACACAAATCGGCGTTTCCGTCTCCTCCACAGGCTTGAATTTGCCCAATGGTTTCTGAATGTCAGACTGTTCACAAAAACAAGTCTTCTGAAGGAGGGGCGTAAGAAAAACCAACAAATGCATCGTCTGCCTCCAGAACGCTGGCATTCACTATAGAGTAGTCAGAAGACACGCACACAGAATAGGGGACCGCCTCTTCCGTGAAGACTGTGTCGAAGTTCCTGATATCATCTGGTCCGGCCTAAAACAAAAAAAGCACAGAAATCCTTCACCTTAGCTTTTCTTTCATTAACTTAGTTCATTGTAATGTCTTTATGACTTTGCATATTTTCCCTGACAAGCTTTGATTTCCCCTACTTTATTATTCTGCTATCCCTGCCCCACTTTTATTATGAAGGTGAGATCTGTCTATTTTAAGAAGTGAAAAGTTGGGGGAGGGGGTGGCACGTGTCTTTAATCCCAGGACTCGAGAGGCAGAGGCAAGTGGATCTCTGTGAGTTCGAGGCCAGCCTGGTGTACAAGAGCTAGTTCCAGGTCAGGCTCCAAAGCTACAGAGAAACCCTGTCTCAAAAAACAAAAATCAAAACAAAACAAACAAAACAAAAAAAGAAGTTAAAAGTTTTGCTCTTTAGAAGGGAGAGAAGTGGTAAGGGTAAGAAAGGCCAGTATAGCAGCGTTGCCTATGTGTGTACACACACACACACACACACACACACACACACACACACGCGCGCGCGCGTGCGCGCGCACGCGGCTTCCCCTTTCTCTCTAGACATCACCATCCCTAAGCGCAGAAACAAGGCTCAGGGAGGTCTCCAGGGTAGTATTTGGCTTTGAGCATCAAGCTCTTGGAGAGGCCACCCTTAGCTGTCAAGACCTGAGGGATCTGCTGATGGGAAAGGAAGATGAGCAAGGTAAAGGCTCTGCTCCAAGGCAGTGTTTCTCCCGTGTGCACTGAACCTTCCCTTTAACTACATTTACAGATAGGAACTGAGATGCAAACTCAGCCGCTGGGCTTTGTAAAAGGCCTGCTAAACCTCCAGGCTATTTCTGCACCACAGGGAAGGGAAATCCTTCACGCCCAGGTCAAGAAGTCCAACTGAATTACAAAGACAGGGACTCAGGGCAGAGAAAATAACCTCCAGATACCAGATAGCCCTGTAAATCTACAAATCAATCAGCGAACAGGGAATGAACTTGGAATGCTAAATTCTCCCATGTAAGAAAATCTCCCTCAGACTACAAAATTCTCTAGGGGTTATAGACTTTGGAATTAAAAGGAATGGAAAAGGGACTGAAGAGATGGCTCAGTGGCTAAGAGCACTGGCTGCGGGTAGACCCAGCTTAGCTCCTTCTTACCAGCTGTCAGTGTTCTTTAAAACACAAGTGACAGCTCATGCTGGAGAGGATGTGGAGTAAGGGGAGCACTCCTCCACTGCTGTGGGAGTACAAACTTGTACAGTCACTTTGGAAATCAGTGTGGCGGTTTCTCAGAAAACTGGGAACCAACCTCCCTCAGGACCTGGTTATACCACTTCTGGGTATATACCCAAAAGACACCCCAACATACCACAAGGACACTTGCTCAACTATGATCACAGAAGCTTTATTCAGAATAGCCCAAAACTGGAAACAATCTAGATGTTTCTCAACCAAGGAATGGATAAAGAAATTGTGGTACATTTACACAATGGAGTATTACTCAGCTATTAAAACAAGGACATCATGAAATTTCTAGGAAAATGGATGGAACAAAAAAAAAATCATCCTGAATGAGGTAACCCAGACCCAGAAGACAAACATGGTATGTACTCACTCATAAGTGGATATCAGCTATAAAGTAAAGGATGACCAGGTGACAACCCACAGACCCAGACAGGCTAGGTAACAAAGAGGATTCAAGGGGGATGCTTGGGTCTCTCTGGAAAGGGGAAAGAGAATAGATTTTGTGGGTGGACTGGGGTGGGTAGGAATGGGAACAGCAGGGATCAGGTGTGTGGGTAGAGGGAAAGGGTGCTGGGAGAGACCAATGGAATACTGGAGTACTGGGGGTGATGTAGAAACCTAGTGCAGTTGAAACTCCCTAGAATCTACAAGAGTGACCCTAATGAAGTCTCCTAGGAAAGGGGATACAGAGCCTGAACTGGCTGTCTTCTGGACCCAGGCAAGGCTCCTAGTAGTGGGGCTGGGGCATCAACCCAACCAGAAACTAGAGGCAGGATGGTCCAGAGAACCAGGATAGAACCAAACACAACTGGCAAAAATAAAAATTAAAAAAAAAAAGAGTCAATGAAATGATTCCTATGCTCACAGGTTGGTACCTAGCCCAACTGTCATCAGAGGGGCATCATATAGCAACTGAGCAGATGCAGAGACCCACAGTCAAAAACTAGGGTGGAGCCTGGAAGAAGAGGGGGAGGAAGGATTGTAGGAGCCAGAGAGGTTGAGGACACCAGGAGAATATAGCCCACAGGACTCAACTAGGGGCTCAGAGAGACTGAAGCGACAGTCACAGACCTGTAAGGATTTAAACTAGGCCCTCTGTATATACCTTATGGTTGTGTGGCTTGGGGTTCTTGTGAAGCTCCCAACAATGAGAGTGGGCCCTCTCTGGCTCTTGCCTGCACTTGGGACCCCTTTCCTACTACCGGGTAGCCTTGTCCAGTCTTGATATGAATGTTTGTGCTGAGTCTTACTGTATTCTGTTAGGCCATGTTTGGTGGACATTCCTGGAAGGCCTGCTCTTTTTTGAAGGGAAACAGAAGAGTTATCTGAAAGAGAGAGGAGGTAGGTAGGGGGAGGGACTGGGAAGAGAAGAGGGAAGAGAAACTGCAGGACAAGATGTATGGAAGAAGAAGAAGAATAAAAGATACATATCAAGGTACAAGATACAAACAGAACACCAGATAGGGAGGCCCAGAAAAGAAACTTCCCACAGCACATAATGAAATGCTAAATATATAGAATAAAGAAAGGATATTAAAAGCTACAATGGAAAAAAAAATAAAATAACATATAAAGGCAAACCCATTAGAATAATACCTAACTTATCAAAGGAGATTCTGAATGCCAGAAGGGTCTGGATGGGCGTTCTAAAACTCTTAAGAGACAACAAGATGCCAGCCCAGACTACTATACCCAGCCAAACTATCAATCATAATTGACAGACAAAAAAAAAACATTCCATAATGAAACAAAATTTAAGCAATTTCCATCTACCAATCTAGCTCTACAGAGAAGTCAAGCTGGCACCTAGAGCCTTCACCCTTACTAAACTTTCATGGTACTAAAAGGGACTCTGTACACTATTGAAGAAGAAAGGCAATCATCAATATATTCTAGCTACAAATGCTGCAGCCCACAATAGTGATTTGCTTGCAAGATATATTGGTGTAATAGTGGCACAAATGTTATGGGGGCAACCAACCACTCTGAATTTAAGGCTCACTCCATGAGATGGAACCCATTTGACACTGCTACAGTGTCCAAGAATTTGAGACTAAGTAGGTAACGGGAAAGGTAATACTATTATTATGGGAAATACTAATACTAGGGGAAAAAGGAATACTATTATTCTGCTAAAGGAATATAGCAATAAAATGACTCCTGATAACATACTGCTATATCCAGAGATAGTGCTTTTCTCAGCTATCATCAGAGAAGTTTCTTCCTGCAGTAGATGGGCACTAACAAAGAAACCCACAACTGGACAATGTGCAAAGAGTTAGAGACTTTGGAGCACTCAGTCCCAATGAGATGTCTTCATTAAAGCTCTCCCTGAAGGCTCAGGGATCTGTGTAGAAAAGGAGGCAGAAATAGAGTAAGAAAGAGTCAGAGGTGGAGGATGTCTACAAGGAAACACTGTCTTCCTGACACAAGACCGAGCAGAATGACTTTCTGTTTCATTTTGCTTTTGGCATTATTTTTTGGTCTTGTTGGTCTTTGGTTTCATTTGGGTTTTCATCTGTTCCATTTGTGTGCACATGCATGTGCTTTGCTTTTTTGTTTTGTTTTTGTGGTTTACTTTTTTATTTTTTGAAACAGGTTTCTCTGGGCGGCTCTGGCACTCCTTCTGTAGACCAGGCTAGCTTTGAACTCAGATATCCATTTGCCTCTGACTCTTGAGTGCTTATATTAAAGGTGTACACCATTAAACCCAGCTGACTGTGTGTTGTTTTTTTTTTAAAGGGAGGGAGAACATAAGGTTGGGTGGGTAGGAAGGCGTGGAGGATATGAAAAGAAAGCATGATCAAAGTATATCCTATTTAAAAAAAATTATAATAAAAAATAGCACTGGCTGTTCTTCCAGAGGAACCAAGTTCAAGTCCCAGCACTTACATGGTGGCTTACAACAATCTGTAACACCCTCTGTTGGCCTCCATGAGCACTGTATGCACACGGAATGGACGTAAGCACATACATTCAGGAACTCATATACTTACCCATAAAAGAAAAATAAATAAAATCTCAAGAAAATTAACAAGTGAGTATATTAGTATTGCAGAGGACCCAGGTAGGTTTGGTCCCCAGCATCTACATCAGATGGTTCACAATGGCATTTAACTTCAGTTCCAGGGGATCTAATGTTCTCTTCTGGCCTTATCAGGCACCGGGGATGCATGAGGTATTCATAAGCACACTCAGACACATGTGTATGTGTGCACACACATACACACAAATAAATAATTTTAGAGGGGCTGGACAGATGGCTCAGAGGTTAAGAGCACTGGCTGCTCTTCCAGAGAATCCAGGTTCAATTCCCAGCTACCACATGGCAGCTCACAACTGTCTGTAACTCAAGTTACAGGGAATCTGAAACCTTCACACCAATGCACATAAAATAAAATTAAATAAGTTATTTAAAAAATAACTTCAGAGCTGGAGATTTATCTCAGGGGTAGAGCCCCCACTTAACAACATCAGTCTCCAGCATATCAATGTACTTAAAACACAAAGACACAAACCAATTATGAAACACACCAAAAACCATCATCACATCTGATTATGAGAAGTGTTAGCTACAATTCCTTATATAATTACCTTCTTCCCATACGCCTGTTTCCTCTTCAGTGAAGTAAGAATGGGGATTGAGCCTCTCTAACTCCAAAGTAAACATCAGGACAAAAACTATCCTTACCAGAATAGTCATTTTTGAAACCATCAATTCTGAACTACATGAAGTAAGTCAGAATACAAATACTGCTGTGTTGGAAGATGTAAAGTATCACAGCTATTATGTACAGAATCTGACTTTTAGCCAAGCCAGAGTACAGAGAATCACACTTATTTTTGAAGTAATGTCCTTATCCCTCTGTGTTTCATAGCAACATCAAAAGAGATTTGGGCCAGGAATGGCTCACTGGCTGAAGTTCTTGCTCTGTAGACAGGAGAACCTGTGTCACACTGCATGTCCTTCCAGCACTGGGGAGGTGCAGGCAGCCAAACCCTGGCCAGCTATTTAGTCAGCCTCATTTCAGGCCAGTGAGAGTCTGTCTCAAAACATAAAATAAAATTGACGATTCCCAAGGAATGACACCAAGGATTTCCTCTGGTCTTCACAGGGATGTGCACTCATGTGCATGAACACCTATGCCAACACACAACAACGACTTTGGACTCCCACTCCCATGCAAACACACAACAACGACTTTGGAATCCCCCCCCCCCCCGCAAACACACAACAACAACGACGTTGGAATTCCACCCCCATGCCAACACACAATGATGACTTTGGAATCCCACCCAGACTTGAATATTGACACTGTCACTTCTCAGCTGTGACCGTCTGTCATTTACTCATTTATAAACAGATACACTAATGAGAACATTAACAGTAGTAAGTTCACAACTCATCCAAGGAGCAGGTTATATACAATGACCAAATACAAAGTATATATCTATACAAAGAAAGCTACCAGAGGTTACTAACATTATTACTGACAATTTCTTTATTACTGTATGTTAGTTTCTCAAACTTGACATGCTGTTAATTCTATCAAACACATCTCAGATCAGCTTTGTGTTTAAAAATGTATCTTTAGGTAAAGTACTTTCACTAGTTTAGCTTACATGAACATAATATTTTAATAACACTCATTATTTTCTAGAAAAGACATGACAATTTATATTCTCATTAAAAGATTTTGCTCAGGGCTAAGGACACAGCTGAACTGATAAAAGTATTTGGCAAGCAAACATGAGGACCCGAGTTCAAATCTCCAGGACCCATGTCCCAGGCAGAGCAGTGCTACACACGCGTGATTTCAGCACCAGGGAGGTGGGAGAAAGGGCGGATTCTTGTAGCTCACTGGCAAGTCAGCCCAGTTGAAATGAGTGCTCTCGGGCTCAATGAGAGAACCTGCTTCAAAAACTGCAGTGGGCAAGACTGTAGAGCATGCTTTGACCTTGGTACGCGCGCGCGCGCGCGCACACACACACACACACACACACATGCGCGCATTCACATGCATGCATACAAAGATACACTCACACAAATATGTACAAAGACCACACACACATATTTATCTGTCCCTGGAAAAACATTATTATCATTACTTGAATGTTGGTTTGGTATGGACAAAAATGATAATGGCTCCTTAGTGTCCGTCTCTTTATTAAGATCACCCTTTTGATGTTTGCAAAGAAGCATTTCATGATTACTAGGTAGGAAGAAACTTCATCCAACTACTGGGATCTTAGTGGTCACCATCAAGTTGTTGTTGTTTTCTTTCCTTTTTTTTTTTCTTTGGTGGAACTAGCAAGTCCTCTACCCATGAGCTAGGAATCTCTCAGTGATAGAACGCAAAAATACTTAGGAACCGACCCCTTTGATTCCGGTCAGTTTTGGGGGTCCATCTCCGAAATCAGAGTTGTAGTTTTCACTATTTTAGAAAACTATGGACTTACCACATTAGGGTTAAACGGCGGTGGGATCTTTTTCTGTACAAGGTCAGTCCAGCTGAGTGATTCAAAAAAAGGATGATTCTGGATTTCAAGCTAGAAAATTAAAACAGTAGTTTTAGTAATGACAGAAACTTAAGTACTCAACAAAGAATGTTACAACGTTCGACTATTTCCATTTTACCATGCAGTTTTTTAGTGGGATATTTATGTCCCTCCTGGTCACACCCTGGAAAGACTAACTTAGAATAAGCCTCTCTGCTTCAGCAACGTGCCTGCCACACGGTTCCCCCACAGGTGAAACAGGGCCAACAACCCTGTCCTACAAAGTTCATGTGTTTCTAAAAGATGGACATAAAAACATGGGAGTGAAAGTGTAGAAAGAATGAACAAGTATGCAGGTATAGGCAACTAATATCTGAAAACACATAACAACGCCAGCAGGGCCTTATGCGGTCCGCAGACGTGAAAGCCAGGGCCAGGGCTTGTCCATTCCCCCTGCCACACCCACAAGCCAGCACAGTCCTTGTTCTAGCTTTCTCCTGTTAGGGTTCTATAGAAGTAACAAAGTAGCAATCGACCAACACAGTTTGGTGGGTGAAAAAAAATTTCTTAGGGCAATGTCTGAAGTAGGCAAGTTCTTTTATTTTATGTTTTAGTTTATTTAGTGTGTGTATGCATGTGTGTGCACGTGCCCACGGAGGCCAGAAGAGGTCTCGGATTCCTTGAAGCTGGTGTTACAGGTGTTTATGAGCCGCCCAGTGTTTGTGCTGGGAATCAAATGCTGTTTCTCCGTGGAGGAGCCGGCACTCAGTCTCTGAGCTATTTCTCTGGTCCTGGGAAGCTCTTTTTGCCGTATCTGCTGCTGCTCACAGTGCACAAAGCAAGCTTTTGTTTCTTAACAAACCTCACTACTGAGGTCTGGAAGATACATAAGAATTAATCAGACAATAAATAAATAAAGAGAGAATATTCCAGATGAACATGAAAACCCTGAAGAGGTTAGTTAGGTCAAGCCAGTGAATATTGGGAATAGGGAGTCCTGCAGCATAGAGAAGGAATATTCTTATTCATGTTCATATGAAAAGGAGCATAGAGTATCGGCAAGATTTCAATTACAACTGAGATTTAATATGGAAATTTTAGTTTTAGAGGATTTTGTGTATGCGATGCATATATGTGTGCTATGTGAGCTGGGGAAATGCCTGGTGTTTTCTATCACTCTCTGCCTTTTGCTTAGAGACAGACTTTCAATAAATCTGGTGTCGATTCAACTAGACTGGCTGCTCAATGCCCAAGACTCCTTTGCGTCCACCTTCCAGTTTGGGGGTTATAGAAGAATACACTCTGTACATGGGTCCTGGGATCCCACATGAGGGATCCCATGTGATGAATGCAGGGCCTCATGCTTGCTCAGCAAACACTTTATGAACCACGTCATCTCCCAAGCCCAGGATTTCAACTTAGAACACGCTGTGACCAAGGTACTCAAGTATGAAGAAAACAGACACTATGTAAGTCTACAGAGTTCGCGAGGGGGCTCTGGACTGAACGGGTGAATGTGTGCTATAAAGACATGAAAGTAACCAAAGCCACCGCACCAAGAAGAGGGTTTGAGAACAACCACAGGGCCCTATACACCTCGTGGGCCGAGGAAGACCTTGTACAGTTTATATGGCAGAGTAAGGAGGAGGGCCAGAAATACAGACGGGCAACACGAGAGACGTGGGAGTCCACTAGAAGCCAAGAAATTTTAAACTGGCTATGAGAGAAAGCTGAGAAACACACACGTTCATGTTTAATTACCAATTGGAAGTAAGTAAAACAGAAGGGAGCGGATATTTGTGCAGACAAAGCCACACACAGGTCCCTGGCAAAGGACTAGGGTCCAGGACACAGGTGGAGATGGACCTTTCCCACAGCAGCAGGAAGATAAGTGCAGACAGGCTAAGGTCACAGTACAGGGGTAGCAGCTCCCCCAACTCAGACAGCACTTATATCCTAGTCAAGGGGAAGGCAAGATCATCTGCCCTACGAGGTGGGTGGGGTCAATACAAACATTCCAAAAAGCTTAAAGAAATAGAAACGTTTGCTTTTGTGTGTGTGTGTATGTTTTATTTTTGTGGTGCTGGGATCAAAGCCAGGACCCCATTCCATTCTAAGAACGCTACTCCACTGAGGTACACCTTTAGCTCACATTATTCTAATGAAGAGAGTGAACTATGAAGATGTTGCAGGAGCTGTATTTGGTCAATGTAACCACCGACACAACATTCCTTGGTCAACAAGAGGGTCTGGCTGTCCGTCTGTGTTCTTAGTAAAAACAGAGGTCAATACACACACAGCATAAAGTATGTGTAGTTGTCAGGACCACTAGAGTGGTCTCCAGTGACAGGAAAAAGCTGAGTCCCAGTGCATTAACTGCCACAGAGGCACAGTAAAAGACAAGGGCCACAGGAACGCTCCCACATTCCTTCCCAGAGAGGAGGCTTGGGATGGTAAGCAGGAGTGGGGAGTGCCAGGTGGATGGAGACAGGGAACATGGCCAGCAGTGGTGAGTGCAGTGGAGGCTTGTGACTGCCACACTGCACACCCGCACTGCTCGAACCCCAACCTGTGACCGCCATACTGCACGCCGGCATTGTTTGAACCCCAACCTGTGACCGCCACACTCACACCCGCACTGCTCAAACCCCAACCTGTGACCACCACATTGCACACCCACACTGCTTGAACCCCAACCTGTGACCGCCACACTGCACATCAACACTGCTTAAACCCCAACCTGTGACCGCCACACTGCACACCTGCACTGCTCGAACCCCAACCTGTGACTGCCACACTGCACATCAACACTGCTCGAACCCCAACCTGTGACCGCCACACTCACACCCGCACTGCTCGAACCCCAACCTGAAACTTTTTCGTCAACTATTCAGCAGCCCAGGACGCAACAGCTGGACTTATCTAGTGTTGCAATTTCTTACAATGAACTCAGTGAAGGGATGGAGCAGTTATGAACATGAACAAGACTGAGGAAGACAATGACAGAGCCAGCCACTGAACAGCCAGTGGGAGGTGGGGGGTGAGGGTAGCAGCAGAAGCGTCTACTGTCCACACAGTTCAAGTTGAAGGTTGAAAACAGCCTCCACAAATTTCTGGAAAAGGAGTTGACAAGTTCATGTTTCTTACCAGTTTGTGACATGTCAACATAATCAAATTGAGTTCCCTGATCTGAAACAATGGGCAGATTTCATAATTATCTCAAGGAGATGTCAGCAAATTCTCACCCCCTCCCCCCCAAAAAAAGAAAGAAAGAAAGAAAGAAAGAAAAGAAACTTAAAGTTATTTTAAAGCAAAAGGCCTGCCTTATACAGGAAAGTGATGCTTTAGTGTTTTTTAATTTTTTTAAGATTTACTTATTATGTATACAACATTCTGCCTCCATGTGTGCCCACGTACCAGAGGAGGGCGCCAGATCTTATTACAGATGGCTGTGAGCCACCATGTGGTTGCTGGGAATTGAACTCAGGACCTCTGGAAGAGCAGCCAGTGCTCTTAACCTCTGAGCCATCTCTCCAGTCCAGAAAGTGGTACTTTAAAGAAATCCTTTTAGCCGGGCAGTGGTGGAGCGCGACTTTAATCTCAGCACTTGGGAGGCAGAGGCAGGTAGATCTCTGTGGGTTCGATGCCAGCCTGATCTGCAAGAGGTAGTTCCAGGACAGGTTCAAAAGCTACAGAGAAACCCTGTCTCAAAAAACAAAACATAAAACAAAACAAAATCCTTTTAAAGCTGGGTGTGAATGGTGACACATGCATTTAATACAAATACTGGGAAGTAGAAGCAAGAGGATCTTAGGGAGTTCAAGTCCAGCCAAGGTCATACACATATAGTGAGACCCTGTCACAAAAGCAACTCTTAAAAATTTATTATTATCTTATTATTTTGTACTTATGGGTGTTGGGCCTGCATCTATGTCTATGCACCGCATGCATGCAGTGCTCTTAGAAGCCAGAGCTGGAGGTACAGATGGTTATGACCTGTCATGTGGGTGCTGGGGATCAAACCAAGGTCTTCTGGAGAGCCAACCAGCTCTCTTAACGACTAAGTTACTGCTCTAGCCCCTTAAAATGTTCTTAATAAAGAAAATGCTTTCTGGGCTGGAGAGATGGCTCAGCTGCTAAAGGCTAGGCTTACAACCAAAAATATACAAAGAAAATGTTTTAAACATTTACATAGCCTTAAACCCCAACAAAAGCTTATGAGTTGAATAATTTGTGTTATAAGTTCAGGGAAATGTTTGTATTATGCATCAATAAAAATTTAAATTTCTAAGGTTGGGTGTGGTGGCATATTCCTATAATCCCAGCATTATATGGGTGGCAGAGGCTGGTGGATTGCTGCTAGTTTGCTGCACAACACAGACTTTGCCTCAAAACAAAACAAACAGCAATAACAAAGTACAAAAAATAAAACTTCCGGGCATGACGTGTGTTTCCAACGCTACCACTCTGGAGCGTGAGGCAGGGACATTGGATTCTGAGCTAAGTAGTAAAACTTCTTAAAAAAAAAAATTTCATAGGACACTTCATAAAAGGAAGATGGAGAAGAAACTGTCACAAATGAAAACCAAGAAGCAACAGAGTGTAAAAGCTGGACACCGGGTATCCAGCAAACAGTCACCAAGAACGAATGAAAACAGAACCAAATTAAAGTACAAAAACACAACTAGAAACTGGGGGCAAGAATGCCCCTCCCCTTCAACTCTGTAATAACAACTAGTTCATTAACAACAAATAAAAGAAGGATTTATCTCCAAATTTTAAATAAGTTCAACTTATTTAAATAAGTTTAAATAAGTACTCAGAAATAGGATACATACGAAGTCTTCTTTGGCACCAAGTCGATTCTGCCTGTTTTTTTCTAGGAGTTCTTCCAGAATGGACCACGCCGTGAGGCTTACTCCTGGCCTCAAATTCAGGGGCTTATGAAGAATATTATCATACATTTCAGCAACGTCTCGGCAGTAAAAAGGAGGCTGGAGGAAAACCCAAAGCAACAGAGGTTAGTGCCTCATGTGCAAATGGTTGACAGCATTGGGCTGCTCACTGAGGTGGTCTACTCCTGTAACCGAGCGCCTCGAAGTCAGAGGCAGGTGGGTCTCTGTGGATTCCAGCAAGGTTACAGGGTGAATTCCAGGCCAGCCAGGACCAAGGTGTTGTGCTTGGCTTTGATCTTTAGAGAGAAGATGGGTATGACAATTGCAGAAACTCGTGGCCTTCCTGGGGAATGCGGACATCGGTAGAGAGTCTGTGGCAGAGATTCTAACGCTTGGTGCACTGTCATGCTTAACACATGCTTGCGGGATGAAATAGGGTCAGGCCTTCCAATAGCTGTGTGTGGACTGTTTTAAATCCCATACTTGTAACAATAGGTTTCACAGAAAACAATGACAGGCCATATCAGAACGCAGTGGTTTGAGTAAGAATCACCCCGTAGGTTCATATATTTGGCTTAGTCACCACAGAGCGGAGCTATCTGCTAAGGATTAGAAGGATCAGGAGGGGTGGCCTTGTTGGAGGAAGTGTGTCACTAGGGGTGGGCTTTCTTTTTTTTTTTTTTTAAATATTTATTTATTTATTGTGGATACAATATTCTATCTATGTGTATGCCTGCAGGCCAGAAGAGGGTACCAGACCTCATTACAGATGGCTGTGAGTCACTATGTGGTTGCTGGGAATTGAACTCAGGACCTTTGGAAGAACAGGCAATGCTCAACCTCTGAGCCATCTCTCCAGTCCCTAGGGGTGGGCTTTGAGGTTTCGAAAGCCCATGCCAGACCCAGTGTCTCCTGGCCCTAGACTAGGATGCAGCTCTCAGCTACAGCTCCAGCGCCATATTCCTCACCATGGCAATAACGGACTAAGCCTCTGAAACCGTCAGCAAGTCCCAGTTAGAAGAGTTGTCTTGGTCACGGTGTCTCCACAGCAATGGAACAGTGACTAAGACACATAGGGGCGATGTCAGAGTCACTGGAAATAAGCATTCGAGACTGATCAAATGTTAAATGATTTAAGATTTGAGAATAAAATCATCAAAGAAGTAGATAGAGACCTGAAGACGGTGTGATGATTATAGTATGGGGGGAACACCTTACAGCTAATTATCTAGCTAAAAGTTTTGAAATAAAAATAATATTTAAAGTTCAGGGAGTTTTATAGCCTTGTCAGTTTTCTTTTTTTTGTAAGAAAGACGAAAATTTTACCTTTTAAAGTATAACCTTATTTTATACTTCTAAGTCCTTCAAAGAAATACAAAGGATTCTGAAATATCTAGATGACAATTAGTGCCTAAATAAAGTTAAGGTATTAAGTGGTTATCTGAAATCCATTGTCACCAGCATTGCTTAAAAAGTAGCTTTTAACAAGGCATCCACAGTCAAGGGAAGGACAGCTGCCTGAGTCTACTCTTCTTTGGAATCTAGAATATGCTAAACTTCACTGAGCTCCATGCTTGCAGGAGTGAGTCAGTCTCTCTCTCTCTCTCTCTCTCTCCCCCTCCACCCCCCTTAACCGATGATGGTGCACTTAGCACCAGCACTGGCTGCTACCTCAGAGGTCACTGCATGGAGCTGCTGTATACTCAGAGGACCACAGAAAGTATTTAGAAAGCAACCCCAATAACTTCAAGGGGGCCAAAGAAAAATAAAACCTAGGGGCTAGGGGAGACGGCTTAGTCACTAAAGTGCTTGTTGTACAAACATGAGAACCTGAGTTCAGATCTTCAGTACCCACATAAAATGCCAGGAATGCCTGTGACCCCAGTACTGTCTGGCATCTCTCTCTCTCCACGCACACATGCAAACACATAAGGAAAATTAGAATACTGGTATAAATATGAAGATACATGAACTAAGAAGCCTGAACAGGTTGCTCTAGTTGGAGTGACCTCCAAGTATAGTAATAAAACATCCATTTAAGGCTCTGGATAGTCTTAGGTGTCTTCCTGAAAACTATGGAATTCAATTGTACAGTAAACATAATTTTCTTTCAGTGAATCTTTTAAGCCATGATGTTTTTAGAGAAGGGAAATGGGTGGTATCCGGTGATATACAAGCTGAAAATGCATGCAGAAATTTAATCCCATAAAGACAGAATGAAAGGTCAAACCCCAAAGGCACTCTCTTTTTAAAACAATAGTAATATGCTAATAATTGAAAACTTTATTCCCATTGTTTTGAAGTTAGGCAGGTGATGCTTGGTGTAAACAAAGAAGACAAGCAAATTCCACGTCAAGACTGCGTGTCTCTTTCTAAAACAGCCAGAGGAAGGAAAACAACTAAAGTGGCACAGACACGGCAGATCGGTGCTGGGCCTGGAGGCGCACGCCTTTAATCCCAGCACTTGGGAGACAGTGGCAAGCAGATCTCTACAAGGTGAGTTCCAAGACAGCCAAGGCTGTTACACAGAGAAACCAAGACTTGAAATCCCTTCCCCCAAAACTAATAAAGTTTTTCTTCATGTGCATATTCCTAATATGCTTTTGAACTCATTTGATAAGGCCAGTACTGCTTTGTTGGTACCATTTCATCTACGGACATTTGAAATTATCAAATGCGATTACTTATTACTACATTAGCGGTAGTGCAGTGGAAATACATACCAGCCCATACAGCATCTCATAGAGAACAGCACCCAGGCACCACCAATCCACAGTGTTGTCATAGGGCTGTTTTCTGATCACCTCAGGAGCAAGGTACTACAGAAAAAGAAGAGAGCGGAAGACAAAGTCAACACATTCTGGGTGCTAGTTAGTACTCATACTAAAAGCACGTTATCTAGATTTTCAATGAGTTGTACATCCTCACTCTGTCACAGTAGCTTTTCTGGTGACGTCAACCAGAACACTTCCAAATACAAGAACACAGCACTTTATCTAGAGATTAGGGCCATCGAGAAAAGAGGACCACAATGCTGAGTGTGTGTTGGGAGAAAGTCTTCCCCTGGGCTAAATAAGACCCTGTCTCAAAAACCAACAAACAAACAAACAAAAACAACAAAAAATCCAAACAAACACCATACAATTATTATTTAAAATGTTTCCACTTACAGAGTTCATCTGCTCTTACAGTCTCAATACATTACTCAAGTTGGCCTTGAATCCTTGAGCTCAGTGATAATTGCTATTAAAAATTGCAGTAGCCAATTTGCAAGCAAATTTAGAAAGCTTAAATTATTTTAATTTGTAAAGAAAAATCTCATCATGAATTCACAAACATTAAGCACACATATTAATGAAGATTATGACATTTCCACACGTGTATACAGAAAAGATTTAAATCAAACTGCAAGGGTTACGATTAAAAATAAAAAACACATCCTCCCTGGGAAACAGGAGAATGACACAAACCCTGGTAAATACACATTTGTGAGTTTCTTTCATAGCTACTGATTTGTTTTCTTGTTAAGAAAATGACTTTTTACAAGATATTCCAACCACCTATTAAAAATGAACTGAGACCAATTATAACATTTATAACTACAGAGTTATAAAATGTTTTCCATATCTGCTAAGATCATTTACAAAGTATTTTTAGATTTAATTAATTTTTAAGTGTGTACATTTTTGCTGGCATATATGTATGTACACCACGTGCATGCACTGCCCTCAGAAGCCAGAAGAGGGTGTGGGATCCTCTGGAACTGAAGTTATGGATAGCTGGGAACCACACCGTGTGTACTGGGTGTGAACCCCAAGCCTGCACAAGAGCAGCAAGTGCTTGTGACTGCTGAGCCGTGTCTCCAGCCCTGACACAGTTCCTTTAACACAGCTGTGATAAGATAGTGACACACTGCCCAATACTCTCTAAAGCGGTCAGCTCAATGATGTCAGCATGGTCACAGTGCCGTGCATCTACCCCCACAGTAAATTTTAGGGCATTTTTACTGATTTAAATTCTTTCTAGAAAGATTAGAAATATAATTAAATGCTTAGTGACATCCAAGGAATATTTTTAATACTAAAAAAATAAGCATGTTATGTTTGTTAGATCATTCAAAAGGGTCTTGTGGCATTTCAAATCCATAATGGAAGAGGCCCACTGTACACTTCACACCTCCAGGAAGCTGGAAGCTCTAGGAAGCTTATTTCACCTCTTCTGAATATATAGTGTGGGACTCACATTTATATCTTATAAATTCTATCAACGATCAGACACATTTCTTACCTCTGGTGTCCCACAAAAGGTGGTGGTGGTATCAGAAATAGCAATTCCTTCTTTGCAAAGCCCGAAATCTGTTAAGACAACATGTCCCTGACAAACACAGGGCAGTGGGATAAAGCCATGCATAGACATGAGTTAGCAAGCTTTAAATATAACAACTTTTTATTTTACATGTACACATGCGTGCCTGGGTCTATGTAACCACATGAGACTACTAGAAGGCATCAGATCCTCTGTAACTAGAGATGCAGGCGGTTGTGAGCCACTCAACATGGGTACCAGGAACCACACCTGGGTCCTCTGTAAGACTAGCAGGTGCTCCTAACCACTGAGCTATCCTTCTAGCTCCTTAACTAAAAAATAAAACAAAACAAAAAACATATTTATTTATTATGTGTGCATGTGAAAGAGAGCACAAAGGAGAAAGAGAGGGAGAGAGAGAGAGAGAGAGAGAGAAGTGTGTGCATATGTCTGTGTGTGTGCACACGTGTGCACGCACAAAAGAGAGATGGGGAAAGAGAAGCGCATGATGTGCTAGTTGGGGACAACTCTCGAGAGCTGGTTCTCTCTTTTCACCACTGGTCCTAGAGACTGAGCTTGGGTTGTGGCAAGTGTCCTTCACCCACTGTGTAACCCTGCCAGCCCATTCTTTTTAGTTTCTGGAACCAGAGTCTCATAGCCCAGGCTGCCCTAAGTTTATTATCCAGTGGAGGATATCATGAACAGACCCTTCTGCCGCAACCTCAAGTACTGGGATTACAGGCATGCGCAACTGTGCCATTCTTTTTCCCAGTAAGGTGAGTCCAGGATTTCCTGCACGCTAGGCAATCACTCCATCCACTGAGTTATATCCCTGGACCTGAATTCATAATGTTGAAGCCTTCTTTTTTATTTTAAAATGACTATAAAAACAAACACAATTGCAAAACCAGAAGAGTGTAACCTCATCCAGCATACATAAATGCTGACATTTTGTTTTAGGTCAAGCAAGAAACTATCATTTGTACAAAATTGCTAATTACAATACTGACCTTATCTGGTGTCACTATTTTGAATATGCACAATCCTGTGTGTGTGTGTGTGTGTGTGTGTGTGTGCGCGCGCACGCGCGTGTGTGCATATGTATGTGTGCTGCAGCAGCTCTCACCACGGTCAGGACACAGAACTACCCCATCACAAGGGCCCCCCCATGCCAGTCCTTTATCTTTGTGGGCTCTCTTCTTTCAACCTTGTCCCCCTAAAAATACGGGCAGGACTCCCCAAAGCCTAGTGTCACTTGAGGAACGCTAGAAACTCAGATGCAGTGGGGAACCCCTAAGACATTCTTCCTACTATGTATAACCACAACAACAATGGACCACCACACGATGTTTGAGAAGACAACACTCACCATGGAATCCAAAAGAATATTTTCCGGCTTCAAGTCTCTACATCAAAGTAAAAGAAAAGAAAAATCTGAGCACTGCCTGGAATGAAGCATTTGAGAGGTATTTTCCACGTGGCCGGAACACACGACTCACCTGTACACTATTTTGATGGAGTGCAGGTAACCCAAGGCACTGGCGATTTCAGCAGCGTAGAACCGCGCTCTGTGTTCAGGAAAAGACCGTTCTCTTTGTAAGTGGAAAAACAGCTGCAAGAGCGAGGGAGCCATTAGCATCAGCCATACACAACAGCACACGAAACACTGCTTCTGATGGTCTGAGCATGGTGGGGGCACACGACGGCTGCCCTGTCCGATCTCTCCTCTCCTGCCCCTCACCTCTCATGCAGCTGCTGCTTTAACTGTCTTCAGAGGGCACCTCTGACAGTCCTTGTTGCTCCTCTCAGACCTCCAGGGCACAGTCTGCACCATTCCAGACAAACACTTCAGAAAAGATTACTAAGGGAAACCTACAACTTTGATGTGGCCGTGTAATTAGCATACTAGGCCTCCAGACGACTTAGTAAATCAAAAGCTCTATGCTGAGGTCTTCATATACTTGTATTATTTAATCTTCTTAATAGTCTCGAGGCAGGAAATCAATGAGGAAACTAGTTCAGAAAGGCTGATCTGCCCAGCATCCCATAACTTATTTTCTGATATTTCACTTGGCTCTAATGAAGAGATTAAGTAGTACACAAAGACTCCATATCTCATGTCAAGATAGTTAAGGACGAGTATCAGGAGGCAAAGATGGCAAGAACAGCAGGAGAGTTGGTCACAGTGGTACATGCCTATCGTCAGCAGCGGGAGGCTGAGGAGGGAGGGAGGGCTGAGGTGGAGGCCTACTGCCTAGGCTACCTAGAGAGAAACAAACAAGCAGAGCCAGGTCTGGCAGCACAGGACGCCTGTAAGCCCAGCACTCAGGAGGCTGAGGCAGAGAGACTGCCATAAGCTTAAGGCTAGCAGGGCTCCATAGGGAGTGGCAAGTCTATATACATAGCAGGGCCTTGTCTCCCAACAACAGCGAACACACGATGAAACCACAGTCTGCCTCGCCCCTTGTCCCTGGTCTTTACTTCCAGCCTACCCACTGCCAGCCTCATTTACCACCCGCCAGTCTCTTCTACAGTACTTCACACACACACACACACACACACACACACACACACCCCGCCTCCTGCTATCCCAGCAAAGCTCATCCTGAGATGACAAGCCTGCCTCCTTCACCTGCACCGCTCAGGTATCAACACCCACTGTGCAAAAAGGGCCCAAAGTGAAGTCCTAAATCACTGTGAAGCAAGCACAGATCAAGGAGGAACGTGGTCCCTCATCCGCTTAGATGGCTCCCCTCAACATTTCAGAGACAGGGAGGCAGGGAAGACTTGTGGCTGAGACTCCTGCCTTCAGTCTGAAGTGGGACATGGTAAAACAGACCAAGTTACCTTCTCTGAACTTCACTTTCCTTTTTGACTGTGCCTCATTTTTTATTTCTTTTTATGTTACCTTTATTCTGTTGTTAACTGAAGCACAGTGACATTTTGGAAAGTCTTTTTTCTCTTTGCTGAGATGGAGGGATAAATGATTCCTCTGTAAAGATAGGAGGTCTTACGAGAGGACTCTGTGATTAAAATGATCCTCTTCTTAAAAAAAAAAAATCATTTCTCACTGGGCAGTGGTGGCGAATGCCTTTGATCCCAGTACTTGGGAGGAAGAGACTGGTGGATCTCTCTCAGTTCTGGGCCAATATGATCTACAAGTGAGTTCCAGGACAGCCAGGACTACACAGGGAAACCCTGTTTCGAACAACAATAATATCTTCTCTGAGAGAGATCTTGCCAGAATCTTTAACATAATGAGATGACACAACATGAAGCAATTTCCACGCTGGCTTCACTGTGCGGAGGTCACTTCACTAACCGTTTGATCACTTTAGAAAATAAGGTGTTGAGCTACCATTTACAGGCAACGGTTGAAATAGCCTTATCTAGATTACACATCATGTCTTATGCTAACACTGCAGCTTGCATTCTTGCGATCCAGCTTTGATGATACACTCACACGGTGCCTGCAGCTTCTGTGTCCTGCATGGCATGTGGTCTGTTGAATGCTGTTTCCACGTTACAAACAGCTGTTGATAAAGCCCTGTCAGCTCAAAGGTTACATAAGAACCTTTCAGATTTCATGCTATGTTTTTTCTCTAGCCATTGTCTGTATTAGACAGCTAATTATATAACTCACCTCCCCTCCATTAACAAAATCCAGAACAAAATAAAGCTTTTCAGTTGTTTGGAAAGAATAGTGCAATCCAACCAGAAATGGATGTTTTACATTCTTCAAGAGCACATTGCGTTCAGCCATAATATGTTTTTGCTGGAAAAAAAGCAAAATACCAATTTGTATTGTATACCAGAAAACAGGCTCAGGAGAAACAAGAGCTACTTTATTTTACCTCTTTTCTGTTGAGAACTATTTTTTTCTGTAACACCTTGACAGCATAAAATTTCCCATCCAGTTTCCGTTTTGCAAGGAGAACCTGTTAGATTTGCAAACAATTGAAGAGGTGAAGTCTTTATAGGTATTCCTGTCAGCACACACTGATTCCTACAGTTTCGAAACAGCAAGTCCCCAGGAACCTATGTTTTGTTTTGAAGACTGAACAGTGCTGAATTTACTTCTGTAATTCTACTCTTTAAAGACATTTTAATAAGACAAAAGGGTTTTGATTATTTAAAAAGCTAGAAATAATTTATTTGTTACATAATAAATTGGGAATGAGATTTTTTACTAGTCAACCAAATATACATCAATCAAGACTTTCTGTATGTGTCAGCCTTGAGCCTTGAAGAGTTTGCTTAGAGAATACTGAACAGGGCTACCGAGATGGCTCAGTGGGTAGAGGGAATTGTTCTCCATGAGGTTGGAAAGAACAGATTCCGACAATTTACTTTCTGATCACTATGTACACACGCCGATACACACAAGTGAATACACAGACAAAGAGAAAATACTGGAACTATGAACTTCATGGCTACGGTGTGTGTGTGTGTGTGTGTGTGTGTGTGTGTGTGTGTGTTTTCAGTGAACAAAACACATAGCTACTTTATGAAGGCTTTTCTTGCAGGCTCTGAATTCACAAGGGGTCAGAGGAAGAGGCAACACGGACCACTGTGTTTTTATAATGGTCTGGCTTGTGGGTACACATTAGAAAACAGAGGATATTGTATCAGAAAAGGGAGACATTCAAGGTCATGCTACACATGACAATGTTTTGGTTAGTGACTGACATGCATACAATGGTACACATTGCATGGCCTAGATCTGTAGTAGGCTGTAATATCTAAGTTTGTGTGAGCACACTTTGTGACATCTTCCAAATGATAAATCCACTTAGGATGTTTTATTCAGATACGTTTCCATTAAGTGATACATGAACATAACCGTAAGGTAGTTGAAATCACTATAATCAAGCTGTATAATTACTAAATGACAAATCCCAAGGCATTTTGAGATGTCTTAGCACATGAATTTAGTGACAGTTCTAGAACCTCCATTGTCTTCTGGCCCAAACATACAATCTCAGTCTAAACATGAGAAAAACATCGGAGCAGCACAACAGAGGGGCTTCCTACAACACACAAGGTCACTAGACCTCAAAACTGTCAAGGTCATCAAAAGCAAGGCACGCCGAGAAACTGTGACAGCCAAGAAGAACCCAAGCAGACATGAAGCCTAAGCGTCAAGTGGTAGCTGGGTGGAAAAGAGAAGGTAAAAGCTACAAACTCTGAATGAACGATGCACCAACAGTGGTCTGTTGTGACATACGTACCGTATTACACAAGGTGTGTGAGAAGCATGCTACCGAAAGTTCTCTCCAAAATAAGTCGACTGATTTTTAAAATGTTTGGGATTCATAAAGATGGAGTCAAAACACCTTAAAATGAAATGTCCCCTGCCCAACTGCTATTCCTCATTTTTACATTCTCTACAGCACTGGGTGGAGAAACATTCTTTCTTCCTTTATGTTTTCCCTTTTTTTTGTAACTCCCACTTGCCTGACCCTTCTTTCTCAGATACATGGACTGGCTCATCTCAAATGCATTCTTAGAGCATACATCAAAGACTCCAGCACTCAGAAGACTCTGATCTCCCAACAATGTTTTCTTCCTTTAGTGTACTGGCAAATTTGCCAACAGACAGAAAGTGAACAGACACCACACCCCGGAAAGAGCTGACAGACCCACTAGACTGGCACATCCAAGTTCAGCTGACTCTCACACTCTGCCATGTTTCAAACAGGCCAGGGCCCTGCATTCACGCTTGCTTTGTTTCCTTTTTGTGTGTTAGGCTTTTATTTATTCAAACATGTGTGTTTATATTGCTTTACAGAATCTGAAGCTATTATCAAACACAGCTTATACATATTAATACACAAATCTTGGTAAGATTTTATAAAGTGAACAGACCTACATACACTACGTAAGTCAAATAAAGCAAGTTGAATCTCCTGAAACCCCTCTTGCCCCATCACAGTTATGACTCCACCCAGCTCCTCAAAGTTAGGACACACTGTCCTAACTTGCAATAGCTAGCAAGTTCCACTGTTAAATATTATGCAATTAAAATTATACAGATAAAGTCTTTTTTTCATTTCTTTCACTCTCTATATATTTTTATATATAGCACATAGACTTAATTTCATGCTCTATGCTATCACACAGAGCATTCTATTATAATGCATATACTCTTGATAAACTACTTATGAATAATGATGTTTAGAGCATGCATGTATATGCCTTTCCTGGTGCATATGTGTTCCTGTTCAGTGTGTCACAGGTCATAAACACACCCAGCATCAATGACTAACAAGTTCTCAACAGTTCAAAAAGAAACATCAAAGAACAAATTTAAATAAATCAGGTGTAAAATTGTATTCAGGACATTATAAAATGTTGAAAAAGATTTTAAATGTCTATTTATTGAAAAGGTTATACCATGTCCATAGACTATAACACTATCATAAAGACATTAATTCTCCCCCCCAAATTCATCTCAGCTTTAATATACTCCAAATTAAATTCCATCTATGCTTTGGAGTAGTAGACATGATGTTAAAATTTATTCAGACATGGAAAAGGCTAAGAACATCGTCCTGAAGAAGGAATGGCCTTGTGCTGGCTATCAGGCTACAGTGTGCGGGAGCCAGGATAGATAAGCAGACAGTGGAACAGAAAACAGGGTCTAGAGACAGAACCACAAATCATAGCGTCTAAAACCAGACTTATTTGTATAGGAATGCAAGACAGATGCTGGAGGGGTCACTGTGTTGTTGGGTCCAGGGTTTCATTAAACTGTAATATCAGTTTATCAATATATACCCACACGGAAAAAGATCTTACGTTATAATATACACAAGAGCCAATTCCTGTGTATTCTAGGCATCAGCAGAGTTCCAAAAACAACAACAAAAATCCCAGTATTTTTATTTCGCTGTTTCAGAGATGACATCATGCTCTGTTGTCCAGGCTGGCTTTGAACTCACAACTATCCCACCTCAGCGTCCCTAATAATTAGCTGGGATTATAAGCATGCACCAGCATATCCAGCTAATGGTTTGTTGTTTTTAGGGGGGAGAGTGTGAGTGAGTGAGTGAATGAGTGAGTGAGTGAGTGAGAGAGAGAAGGCGGGGGTGGTTGACTTGTCCAGGTTGACTGGCATTAACTCCTTGATGTTTGTCAACATTTGTGCTTTTAATGGCAGATCATCTATAATATTCTGATAAACTATAATTACTGAGAGTTTTCACCCACTTCTCACTCTCTGCTGCTTATAGGAGCACAATGCCCAGAATATAACACACGATCACTATACATAAACAAACACAAAGAAGAGTACAGTCAGTTTCTGCTCTCAAGCAAACTCAGAAAACCAGAAGATCCTAAAAGCTACAACTATAAGACAATATAATTAAATAATTACATCTTCATGTTTACTACAAATTTTAAAATTGCAAAAAAAAGAATATATTTGGTGATTCAAATAAATTCACCTATGCCCCCTTTCCTGGCAACCTTGCCCTTCTCAGCATGGCTGGACACTGTGATGGGTCTGAGTGCTGAGACCAAGCAGGGTCTCACACAGGGTTTCCTGGATGATTCAAGGAGATGCTCACATCGTCTTTCTAGCCTCGGGTAAAAATGGAGATTTTCAGAAAGGTTCTTGACAACCCAGCTGCTTGCGATTCTGTTAATGCACCCTCCTCCCTCTTCATTTCAACACTGCCCTTTGTCATTTATACTGACGTGAGCATATTTTTTCACAGACTACTCACCCCGAAAGGCTGTCAGCCACACTAAGTCAGTTTTCTCAAAAGAACTCAGACACGCATCTGACACACACAAAGTTCTCAACAAATATATACTGGACAAACAAACTTCATCTTAGAACTTCAGCACACACCTTGTCTCAAGAATTCTGTCAAGGCTTGGCAGAGAAGGGATATTAATATTAACTCCGTATCTTGCAAACAAAAAAACCCCCCAATGACACACATGCAAATCAAAAACTCATTAGGTACTTAATCATAGAATGGGAACATGAAGAAATAAAATCCCTTACCTTGCCAAAGCTGCCCTTTCCAATAACTTTTAAAAAATCAAAGTCACTTGGTTTAGCACTGAAAGAAATTAACAATGGAAAAACATGAGTCTTCTAGAAATTAAGATATAAACATTTAAACATTTCTGTACCTCATTAAGTTAACAAATTAATGTGGGGGACAAAATCCATGGACAAGATTTCTTGAGCTTTTATACTGGCACATCACCTTTGTTAAGAGCAATAGGAGCTCCTTCCCGACTAAAGACCTAAGAGGCACTTCAATATTATTCTAAGAGAAAAAAGGAGACAAACCTTTACGTGCATTATAATATAATACAGAGATACAGATGTCTCTCACAAAGTAGTTTCTTTCTAAGACCGTTGTATTCATCACAAACCTGATCGCTGTTACAGGTGAAGAGACTTAACTACGTAAAGTTCAAGTAGTATTTGATACTGGGTAATTCTGAAAAACAAGGCACTATTTTCCAGCACCTGGTAAAGAGGCCAAGAAAGCTTTCTGGTGGAGAGAAGTCTCTCCAGTGTTTCCCATATAAAGACCTAATTCTACACGGACATGAAAGAGTTCTCTGGATTGCTCTCACGGATGGTAGTGAAGGGAAGCCAGGAACAAGACACCAGAGAACAGCAGCGCCGCTTTATTTATTTTAGCCTAGCAGACAAACTAGCACTGGCTGTGTGTAGGCAAGCACACATGGTCTCAGGAAGGATCTAGGAGTGGTTCCTCCCAGACAGACTGAATTCTTAAGCTGTACCAGAGGGATCACTTCATTTAGATTTGAAATGTCAATTAATTAGCAAAGCCAACCAGTCAACAGAAGAAACCCAACCAAAAACCTAGGCTGACTCGATTAACTCAGCAGGTAAAGATGCTTGTCAGCAAGCCTGCCGACTTGACTCTGATCCCAGGGAAGCACACGGTGCAAGCGGAGAAATGACTCCCACAAGCTGTCCTTAGGCCCCCACACATGCCATGGCACACAACAGCACCTCCCCACACACATAATAAGTAAATAAATGAAACAGAAAAAGGGTTAAAGTCTGTTCATATACATTTAACCTAACACTCGGTCTAAGTTAAATATTAAAATATTTAATATTTAATTAAGAACGCATTAATGAAATAAGCCACCAAACCCAGAAAGGTAAATGGTGCACATCTTCTCTCATATGCACAACTTAGATGTAAACCACACGTCCCCTCTCACACAAAGAAAGACTCTGGAGGACGGAGGAAGCAGGGATCTGAAGGCAGGGAAAGGTAAGTCAAGGAACAATAGAGGAACGACAGAGTCAGTTTTCCTCCATGTGCCGAGCCAAGGTTTAACAACATGTGCATAAACACAAACAGAAGAACATAGAGAAGACATAAACAGAAGGACCAGTGAGAAGATGGAGGAAGTCCAGTGTGTTATGTTGGGGGGACAAGTATGAACAAAGCATGATACATACATGAAAATGTCAAAGAACCCATTATCTTATGCTATTAAAAAGTTAACTAAAAGTAAAATAAGCAGGATATATTAAAATACTTGACCAAATACAGGTAGATTTCTTTTACAAAACCCTGCTCTTTGGACTGTTTTGTTCTTTCATGAAATGTTTTAAACAAAAGAAGCAAACGTGACCATGGAAATACACACAAATCCTTCCAGGAGCAAACAGAACCCACGTAACTGTGGTGGTGAACCCTAACTGAATGCACATTCTCATGTCACGGTGCCACTGTGCTCAATGCTAGGAACGACAGAAAAAAAAAATGCTCAAAACTCAACTTCCTCTTCCAGAAACGAGTCCAGTCTCCTGCAGTTCTTTGCAGCGGGACTTCCACAGTGGGCGGCCGAAACGGTCCTTCCCGCTGATCCTTTCGGGCTCTGGGGAACTCTGTCCTATTCAGGCTCAGCTCATGGAGTTTACCAGCGATTGACCAAACACAACGAATGGTCAACTTTCAGTCTTTATCTTATTTGCGCTATTGGCCGCGTTAACAGTATTAAAGTACCTTCCCCTCGAGGCACATGTTCTCCCTTAACTTCAAGGCATCATATTCTTGGTCCCCCCCACTGTAGTCTCCACTCAAGTTCTTCCCTCATTGATGCTGAAAGGTCCTTGGTCCCAGGTCTTGGATTATTTCTCCTATCTGTCTATACTCTCTTTCCCCAATGAAGTTAGGCGGTCGTCTGGAGTCCTCTATCCCGAATGTTCTGGGCATTTGTTTCTATGGAATTGTTGGGGGTGACAAGGCCTATGATGGTAAAGCCTTAAACACCCTTGCTCTCAATCAAAATTTATCAGACTACTCTCCAAAATGTTTCCCTTATGCTCAAATTATAAGCAAATGTGGGGAAACTAGAAAATTAAAGCCTGACACCCCTTAACATGCTATAACCCATCACGACTCTTCTAGAAGAAGCGGGCTAAAACACCCAGAGGACAGCCCTGAGAAGGAGATCAATTAGGTCCGTGAGGATGCTCTATTTAAAAAATAATTTTAAATGTTTGTTTGTTTATTATGTATACACTGCTCTGCCTGCAGGCCAGAAAAGGGCACCAGATCTCATTATGGATGGTTGTGAGCCACCATGTGGTTGTTGGGAACTGAACTCAGGTCCTCTGGAAGAGCAGCCAGTGTTCTTAACCTCCGAGCCATCTCTCCAGCCCCTGTAAGGATGCTTTTCCTTCTCTCCCTACCCCTCCGCACCATGACAGTGTGTAGGACCTACAGTCCTGTAAGTAAGAGTCAGTTGATCGTGCCTAAAATAAAGAGAAGAAACAATGGGCAAATAGACTCCAACGATCAACTTGCAGCTTTTGAAAAGAGTTGCTTTCTAAGATGTCTCAACAGGTGAAGGTGCTTGCCGCCAAGCCTGACAACCTGGATTCTACCCCAGAACCCACATGGTAGAAGGAGAGAATCAACTCCCACAAGCAATCTTCTGATTCCATACATGTTTCATGGCTGTGTGCACGCACACAAGCAAACACGCACAGTCAACAGTTTAACACAAGAAGCCCAGCCTTATGGGCTCTCTAGAGCTCTGAAGCAAACGACAGCATTACATTCACTGTCACACGGACACACCCCATAGGCCTCCGTTAAAATGCTCTGACCTCACACAAATGCACATCCTCAAAACAGCACTTCTTGAAAGTTAAAATAAGTTAAACCTACTGAGGATTTCCAGTTGGTCCCAGGTTGATGTTCTGTGAGGTAGAGTGTGGCTATTTAGAGAGGGAAAAACAGTGTTCACATTAGCGTCTTTGACATGAAAGTACATAACTGTGCTACAGACAACAATACATGTTAAAGAAATCTAAAGTTCTAATTCTTGTCATATATTCAATATAAGCGCAGCCACTTTTATTATGATAACTTTCAAGAACAGATGCAAGGAAAAAGGAAAAGAAAATGGAGGAAGTCACCACAGTTGTGTGGGACAGACAAGCACTGAAATCACTTTAGTACGAGGAATCACTTCCACATTTAAATACTGGTGACGATGGCTAACTGTCTGCAGACTTATTAAAGAAGCATTAAAGCCAGAATGATGGTAGGGATGGTTGTGAATAGTAGATATTCTCGGTGTAGTGTGGAGGCTGGAGACTGACTGTACCCTCCTTTGTTTTAAAACTCCTTATTTTTTAAAGACAGTCTATCTCTGAGCCTGGGGTTTGGCATTTCCATCAGAATAGCTGGCCAGTGAGCCCCTGGGATTGGTCTCCACCCCTGGTGCAGGAGCTACACTGCCATAATTCAGCTTTCCTCTGGGCACGAAACTCACTCAAAATTCCACAAGCTGGATTTAGTGATCCTGTCATGGGGGCACCTGTTTTCTCTGGAGGTACAAGGGATCAGGACAGGTCCTCTGCGCATGCATTCTCCCCATGTGTCTCAAGCCCATCCTACAGTGGACGCTGTCACGAAAGCCAGTGCAAGTCTGCTTCCCATACATCCAGGTGTAAGTTCTTTATAACATTCAGAAAGTTAAATGACTTGTATGTGTGTTTAGTACATAGACTTTTACAAGAATATTCCATGTAAGCTTATCATATTTTTATTGACATCAAGTTCAGATTTATAATCTCCAGGAGACACAATATTTTATAAAAATAAATGTCAAACACTCTCACCCTTCAAAGTTCTGAAGCAGGTTTGATATTTAAAAACATTAAAGCTAATTTTAAAGTCACAACCCTAATTCATTTGCTATCTAATATGTCGATATGAAAAACTTCTATGCAATAAATTTTCAATTCCCAGAGGCAGAAATACACGAATCACAATAGTGTAACTCAAGGCTGATCAATCTGTAAGTATGCTGGTTCATGAAATGAGGTTTGCTGTGGTTTAATTTGACGTGAGATTAAACTCAGGATTAAATAATACAGTGTTTTACAGATTAAATACTAGTGTTTTATAGAATCCTAAAATATAACTACAAAATAAATTCACATACTGATTCTTTTGACCTATGTTCTTTTCACTGGCATTCTTCCTTTAGAAGGATTTTTCTTACATAGATGCAAAAAGACAAAGTGTGGGTTGAACAACAAGGACAATTTGTCCCTGATTTATATTAATACATAGCTAATATTTACTACTTGGTAATGATTTCCCTACAGGAGCATGTCCCTGAAATGGTAGCAAGTGGTCAAATGTAAATTAGACAATGTTTCACTGTACCTACCATGATAAGAGATGATATCCATCACTGCACTGATGGTAAGGTAAGATTTATTGACAACTAATTGAGATTCTATTTCTTGATTTCCCCTGACTTATATTTTTCACTTTAAATGAAGGGGCTGAGGGGCATTGGAGAGATGGCTCAATGGTTAAGAGCACTGGCTGCTCTTCCAGAGGACCTGGGTTCAGTTCCCAGCACCAACAGGGTGGCTCACAACCATCTTTAACTTAGTAGCCAGGGATCTAATACCGTGTTTTGAACTCCACAGGCACAACACACATGTGGTACACAGACATGCATGCACGCAAAACACCCATACACATAAAAAATCAAATTAAGTAAGTCTTTAAAAATAATAAATAAAATAAAATAAGGGGTTTTAGGGCTGGTGGAATGGCTCAGTCAGTAAAGATGCTTGCTGCCAAGCCTGACAACCTGAGTGTGATCCCAGGACTCACAGGGCAGGAGAAATCACACTTCCCAAAGTTGCACACGCCATGGCATGTACCCCACCCCAAATTTTCTTACAGTCACTGTTCCTAAAAGTAAAATTAAGGGTTTTAGTTCTAGATATCTACAAGAACTTGTCTAGCTATGAACTTCATTTGGTGATTTAAAAGGTCTTAGTAATTAGGCTGGTGAGGTAGCTAAGCAGAGCAGGTGAAGCTGCTGCCACCAAGCCTGAAGAACTGAGTTTGATTCCCAGGGGATCCGTCTGGTGGAAGGAAAGAACCAACTCCCACAGGCTGTCCTCTGACCTCCACACCCACGCCCACACACGCGTGCCCATGTGCATGGACACAAGCTCAAATAAGTCAACGCAATTAAAAAGTTCTTGACAAATACATTCTTCAATACTCTAAATCAACACATTTTTATATAAGTAGCAGACCAAATGTGGAAAGTCATGATTACATGAACTTTACTCCTTAAGGAACTATTTGAATATCTTGCCTTTATTAAGAGCATAAGCCTAGAATTGGAAAACACAGAAAGTACTAGGAGACAGGTGATGTTTTTCTATACCCTTGCCAACAGATTATGCTAATATTTATATGTTTCATTTCACTTTTGTGTATCTTTTAGAAAGATTCTATGTTTCAATGTGAATATACATAAACATTTATATATTGATTTCACATAATAGTATGCCAAATTTTCTTTAAAAATATGTATTAGGACAAGCATGACCATGCTGAAATAAGTTGATTTTTCTGTGTGGCAGATTAGCCCATCTATATCAATTCCCAAGTTTTTATATTTGATGTACATTTCTTAACTGCTTTCCAAGATCATGTAGTGTTTGCACTTCTAATTATATTACATATAGATCCCTGATTTATATTTTGTAATTTTCTTTCTTCACAGCACCCAAACGTGAATATTAAAAATAGCTTCCCAAAAGAAGTTTGTTCTACTTCGTTTCAATATTAAGAACAACTTGCATTATGTTTTTTACTATAAAAACATAATTTGTTATGTATCTTGTAAGAGATAGTGACGGGGGCTGGGAGGATGGCTCAGTAGTTAAAGCAAGCAAGAGGACCGGAGTCTGGAGCCCCAGAACTCACATAAATACCAGGTGGGCATGGTGGCTTGCCTGTAATTCCAGCCACAAAGGTGGAGATGGGATTCCCCAAGCAAGCTGCCAGCAAGACAGCAAGACTAGTCATGTTGGTGAGATCTGACTGTCAGACCCTGCTTCACTGAGTAAAATGCTAAGAGCACTATAGAAGATTCCTAATATCAACCTTGGGCCTACACACACACACGTGTGTACCTCTACACACATGTCCACACACATGAATCATACAATACCACATGCAGACATATGAAAAGATAAAGGAGGAGAACAGTCAGTAAATAGTGCAACACTGTTTCTAGGCGTCCCACAGTGTAGGAAGCCGAGCACACACACAACGCTGGTCTCACACAAGGCCGCGACTCTGCAGTGGCTACCTTCGGAGCACTTCTTTCATCCTCATCCTCGGAGGGATCTGACTGGTGTCTGGGGCTGTCCATCTGAAGGAAGGCTCTGACATCTGGGCTGAAAACAAAGATCACCTCATTACTTCGATAGCATGTGTGCAGCGTATCTCCCTTTTAAAAGGAAACGGAAATAGAAACCACCATATTAGCATTGACAACAAGAAAACTACAGAATGGATTATTCATTATTATAACAGGAGTCAAGAAGTTCTGCTTTTAAAAAAGAGGGCACCCAAGAGGGGAGCGGGTGAAGCCACAAACAGATGGTTCGCAGAAGAGGAAACCCAAATGCAAACTGTTACTGAGACACACTGCACATTCATTAACTAGCAAAATCAGGACAGTGGAATGACACTCAGAGTGGGAAGGGCCACGCTCACGTGATGCTGGTGAGCTGGAGAATGAGGCAACCTTCCTGAAAAGAATGTGGCAATGCTTGGAGAAACTGTGAAAACGTTCTTCCTGGACCCTTTCTAAATATAAGCCACAGGGGAGGGGTGGGGTGGGGAACACGACACTCCATGTACAGACCCATCTAAGAACCAGGAGGTTTATTTCAACCTTACTTCTCTCATAATCAAATGGAGGCAGAGGGCCACCTGCCACCAGGAAGAGTAAGCCAACTATGGCAACTGCCAATGGGGAACACCAGCTGGCAGCCAGCGATGAGAACTAAACACCCCTGCGTGGAGTGAGGGCTGTGGTGTCTGGCACCATGGTGAGCAGAGACGGCTGGCTCCCCTGTGTATTCACTAACACCCGCAGATGTGAGGCGAGACTTTCCGAAGATTCAGGGCTACATTAGAGTAGATCTCCACAGTAAAAATGAAACGGGTACAAAGACACAAGCTGATGCTGGGGGGCGGGGGAGGACACTAAAATTAATACAGACCATTCATGGACAATGAAAACCCCAATAAATGGTCAAATTGTTATCCTGATGTTCACACATCTATCGGGATTTTCATTGCTCCATGAATTTGTTTGTTTTTGTTTGTTTTTTTCTTCAAGACAGAGTTTCTCTGTGTAGTCCTGGACATCCTGGAACTCGTTTTCTAGATCAGGTTTGATGGGAAAAGTCTTGTGAACCAATAATCTTTAAGAGGTGGGTCTTAGTTAAGGCATGGCTTCTCTGGGACCCAGGGTAAAAAGGTGTGCACCTCCCTGTCTGCCTTCTCTGTGCCTTTTCCCCACAGGACATTGCTGTGCTTGGATTTCTCATTTCCTGGTTCATGAGTTTTTCCCTTATAATAAATAAAATATAATTGTTTTATCCTTAGCTAGCCTGGTTATTTCAACACAGGCTGACCTCAAACTCACAAAGATCTGCCCGCCTCTGCCTCCAGACTGTTGGGGTTAAAGGTGTGGGCCACCACCTCCCGGATCCAGGAATAGTCTTAACAACTCAATACAAATAATATTTGTTGTAGAACATCATGAAAATAAAAAAATACTTTAAAAAAAAAGAAGCAATTTACAAATGTTAAACATCATTATTCAATGATCCACTCTTAGGTTTACATGCACAAAACCTAAGAATATGTATTCCCCCAAACTTCATACATGAATATTCACAATAGCAATATTTATAATATTACAAAAGGAGAAATGCCACAAAATATCCATCAACTAATAAATGGATAAACACAATGTGGTTAAACCATGTATCTGAATAGGATCCAGCAATAAGAATATTTATACTTGTTACAATAGGGACAAAAACATTATACTGCATAAACAAAGGAAGAAAAAGAAGACACATATGGTATGCTCCAGTCAAAAGAAATGCCTAGAACAGACAGCTCTTTAGATAGAAAGGAGAGGAATGGCTATCAAGCGTTTTCCTTGCTGAGACAATGGAAATGCTAGATTGGACTTTCCAGTGACAGGAGGAGACCCGGATGGCAGGTGTTCAGCATTGCGAATATACTGAAAACCACTGAATTCTGTACTTATGAGAATCTAGAAGAATGTCAATGTGGGGAAAGGGATCTCCAGTTTTACATTTTATGTTAGCTGGATTTTCTGCACTATTTTAGTTGTGCTGGACTCACATTTTTATCTTGTGTTTCCTACTTCAAATTACTTCATAAGCATTTCTCTGTGCTGTTAAAGGCTGCAACAATCAGATTTGACAGATGTATGCTCCTTGTCACATGGATGTGCCAAATGTATGCTCTTGTAACACAGACACACCAAATACATGCACTTGTCACACAGATGCATCAAATGCATGCACTTGTCACACAGATGCACCAAATGCATGCTCTTGTAACGCAGATACATCAAATGCATGCTCTTGTAACACAGATACACTAAATGCATGCACTTGTCACACAGATACACTCAATACATGCTCTTGTCACACAGATGCATGTTCTTGTCACACAGATGCACAGAAAGAATGCTCTTGTCACACAGATGCACCAAATGCATGCTCCTTGTCACACAGATGCACCAAAGCATGCTCTTGTCACACAGATGTACCAAATGCATGCTCCTTGTCACACGGATGCACCAAATGCATGCTTTTGTCACACGGATGCACCAAATGTATGCTTCTGTCACATGGATGCACCAAATGTATTCTCTTGTTACAGTCACCAAAACCATGCTCAAATACACCAAATGCATGTTCCTTGTCACATAAATGTACCAAATAGATGCTCTTGTCACACAGATGCACCAAATGCATGCTTGTCACACAGATACACCAAATGCATGCTCTTGCCACACAGATGCACCTAATGCATGCTCCTTGTTATACATATGCACCAAATGCAAGCTCCTTGTCACACAGATGCACCAGATGCATGTTCCTTGTTATACACATGCACCAAATGCATGCTCTTTCCACACAGATACACCAAATGCATGTTCCTTGTCACATAGATGCACCAAGAGTTACTTCATGGCTTCCAACTTTTCAGTCCACAACTCTCATGCATTGCAGACAGCTCTCCAAAGGAAGCTTAGCACCATGGCTGCATTATGACTTGTAAGACAGATTGAAGCTTTTTTCTAAATTTCTTATTTGTACATATAGAGGAGGAGAGAGAATGTGCCATGGTTCACATGTGGAAGTCAGAGGTTTTCTACATTTATGTGGGTTCTGGGGATGGGAACTCAGGTGACCTGGCTTGCATGACAAGTGGCTTCACCTACTAAGCCATCTAACCAGCCCCAATATTTTGAAATCAAAACCATTTAGTTTGGGGCCAGGCATTATGGTGCACACCTTTAATCCCAGCACTTGGGAGGCAGAGACAGGTGGATTTCTGTGAGTTTAAGGTCAGCATGGTCTACAAAGTGAGTTCTAGGATAGTCAGGGTGTTACAGAGAGGAACCTTGTCTCAGAAAACAAAACAAAAAAAAGTTTAATGTCAGGGCACACTAATCTAGCTTTTAAAAACAGAATTGTGGCTACCTCGTGAGGAAAAAAGAATGGAAATTGAAGTGAGGTGTGTGAGTGGCTTCAGAGGTGCTGAGGACAGTCTCCTGCCTGGACCAAGTGACCGGTGAGAACTAGCCTGTGCACAGCTTTAATACAAAGAAGGTGCCCAGGTTGCTGTACCCAGGTCAGCTATGCATGTTTGTCTATGCACCAATGCATGCAGAGGAGGGTGTCAGATCACCTAAGCCTGGAGTTACAGATGATTGCGAGCCACCATGAGGATGCTGGGGAGAGAACCCAGTCTTCTGGAAGAACAGCCAGTGCTTTAACTACTGAGTCATCTCTATAGCCCCAAGTTTCCTTTTTACTTCAGTGTACAGTGTTCACATTGGCTCTCTCTCAGGTAAGTGCGTTTATCCATCATTCTTTATCAAAGCAAATTTTTGTGTATTTTGGTTTTCAGTTTCACTCACAAATTTAGGTAATAGTCAAACATGCCATTGTTTTGCTTTGGGATTCATTATTTACTGCCAATATTTTTTTTGTTGTTCATTTTGTTTTGAAAAACTCTTTTTCCTTCAAAGGCTAGAGAAACAGACTGGATCCCAGTTACATACTTTTAAAACCACGTTTTTCATGAATAGACTGGATCCCGGTTAAATAGTTTTAAAACCACATTTTCAAGACGTTCTTTTTAAAAATACTTTTCACTGTCAGAACAAAGCTATTTAGGGTCAAGGAGAAGTTGTGACAGGGTCAAATACAGCTCAAGTTCGTCTTGAACTTCTTCTCCTCATGCCTGTGTCTTGCAAGTATAGGGATTACATGCATGCATCTCCAGGTTAATGAAGACACTTTAAAGTGTGCTTTCCCGACAGCAGCAATAAGCACGCAGTAAGTGTGCATGACACACTGACATCTTACTCTTTCATATGCTGTATTTTAAGATAATTTGATATTAAAATAAAAAATAAGTAATTTGTTTTTTTAACAAAAGACGGGCTCTAGAAAATACAAAGTGCCTCATTTTTTAAAAAAGAAAATGTCAGCTAAAAATTAAGCTTAAAACCTCTTGGTTATTTGTTCATGGGGTTCTAGAAATTTCTTCTATCCTGAATGGAAGACCATTACTTATAACGTGCATGTGTATATAAAACATCTGTTGTCACAAGTGATCCAAGGAAAGAGAATAAGTGCTAAGCCCCAAAGGGACAGACATAGTATTACCACCCTGCCTCCTGCAAGGCTCGGGCAAGGCTCGGAGCCGGTCTCAGAAGAGGAAGCAGAAAGATAAGATCCAGAGGTTGGGGAGGATGGGTGCGAAACTGCCCACGCTGCTGGAACATACAGACAACACTCATTTAGCTTAATCCTCGCCACGGAGCCGGCACTGGGGTACTCTTCCAAGTGATGGAAACAAATATAATATTAAACAATTAGCAAGATGTTTTAACTACATAATACCAATTTATTTAAACAGTAATCCATAAAATTTCCACGTCTTGATTGGTATTTTTGTCAACTTGAAACAAGCCAGATTCATCTGTGAAGAGGATTCTCAAGAAAGTCCCTTCACAAATGTTTGCCTGAAGGGAAGTCTGCCATGTATTTTCTTCATTAACAACTAATGTGGGGGGCCCACCTCACTGGGGTGGTGCTTCCCAGTCAGGTGTTCCTGGGCATATATAGGAAAGCAGGCTGAGAAAGCCACGGGGAGCAAGCGAGTAGGCCACGCTCCTCCACGGCCTCTGCTTCAGCTCCTGCCCTGGCTTCCTCAGTGAGGGAGGGTGACCCGAGAGCTGTGAGCTGAAGAACCTCTCCTCCTCAAGTTGTTTTAGGTCCCAGTGCTCTATCCCAGCAAAGAGAAACCCAGCTAGGACAGCACACACGTGCACAGGGAAGGAAAAGGGTGGGCGGCAGGGAAGGCGGACAGAGCATCAGGAGAAAGGGCTCTGGCAGAGCCTGCACAGTAACACCAGAGAGTATAAACTCTGCCTGCTCTTGTTCCACTGCTGCTGTAGACGAAAGGGAAAGTACTTACTGGTTGTAAAGCTCTGGATACCTGACCAAGTTCTGAATGAACTCATTCAGTCCTGCTCTTCTTTGTTTAATAAAATCTGGAAGAGAGACACAGACCAGCAGTCACATTTCCGTCAGCGTAGGAGATTATCATGAAACGTTTATGGAAGAACACACAGGCACAAAGCGGTAAGCTGTGGAATAAATGCTGACAGACGTAAGACCTGCACATGTAACCTGAACTGGACGAGGGCTTTGCAGAGTTTCACTGTCAGAGGCCAGAGAGCAGAGATAAAGCCCACAGCACTCATGTTTCTGGAGTCAGGTGTCTTGACACTAAAAGTTGTCTCTCATCGGAGAACCATTTGCTATCTATCCTTACACCATACACACGCCTTCTTAGCAGTGATGCAAACTGTACATCATAGGACTCCTGGGCAAAACAGTGCAAGCCTGAGGCTGAGGCAGGAGGATCACTAGCTGGAGGCCAGCCTGGGCTTCATGGCAAGATTCTGTCTCAAAGAACCAGAAAGTTCTGAACAATTATATCCTTCAATGAACACATGACCTATATCTTCAAACTTCAACCAGAGCTCAGCAGTTAGACCATGAAGCTTTTGCTTACCTGGGTCAAAATTATCACCGAATATTCTCTTGGCAGGAATCTTCAGAGCCATAGCAGGAAACTGTTTCTTCAACTAAAATTTAAAAACAGCATTCTGTGAGCTAATTTCTATTTAATCCCTGCACAACACAATATGATCTTAAGGAAAATTTACAAGACATATTTTAAGTACGATGCTATGACATATAATACTAATATATATGAATAAAATACCACAGACTGACTAATCATCCTATTTTGTCCAACTAAACTGTTCAGTAAGTATGTGACCTTGGAGAGGGCTGGGGGTGGTGGAGGAGTTGTTGTTTCCCATCTGTAAAATAGGGATAGGCTAACCGAGCACCTTCCAGATTTTGCTGGGCGGTTAAAGATGATCATATTTGTTAACACTGTGATTGGAAAATGGTACCCAGGCTCTGCAGGGGCTACTCACCCTTTCTCTCAAGAAATGTGCTCTCTGTGGTCTACAGCAACAGATTAATAACACTTTCCAGAGAAAGGGAATTAATTTTGGTTTCAATACTCTCAACTCTAGCTTGCTCCTTATTAGTATCCAATACATTTGTTTATCAAATTTGTTTGAGGGAAAATTGACTTTTAGGGGGCCGGAGAGATGGCTCAGTGGTTAAGAGCACTGACTGCTCTTCCAGAGGACCCGGGTTCAAGTCTCAGCACCCACATGGCAGCTCACAACTGTCTGAAGATCCAGTTGCAGGGGATCTGACACCTTCACACCAATACACATAAAATAAAGACCATAAAAATTATTAAAAAAAAAGAAAATTGACTTTTATTGAGGAATCATTTGTTATCTATCCTGAGCACTTACTGTATATAGAAATAGATTAAACAAGGGGCAGCCAAGTTGTAAGCTTGCAATAGAAAATCCACACACATACCAAGTACAGATCTAACTGGCAATTAATAGGAAACACAAATAAAAGAATGAATTAATCACTGCATGCTATAGGCAGCAAATCTCAGACCAAAAGAGGGGAAAACAAATGGTACCCCCCACAAGAAACACATAAAACTGTAAGACACTTAGCAGACTTATCAGCTGGTCGCATAAACAGACAGGACATGCTGCTATGAACATAGTTGAACACATGTCCTTGTGGCATGATTGAGCGTCTTTTGGATATATACCCAAAAGTGGTATTGCTGGGTCTTGAGGAAGGTTGTTTCCTAATTTTCTGAGAAATCAACACACTGATATCCAAAGGGACTATACCAGCTTACACTCCCACCAGCAATGGAGAAGTAAAACACTGGTTTTTTTTGTTGTTGTTTTGTTTTGTTTTTAAGTTCAACTTCAATTAGTGTATCATTTGAGTATTGTTTAGGACATATACAGTGAAATGCTAATAAGGTGAGTCAGAAGTCTAACTGTAAGGACTTAGAAAAAACCGAGAGACACTGTGACTCATCTCAATCCACTTGGGAAACAGTCTGTTTTGTAGCTGAGACAACCTTAATTTCCTTAATACATTTTTGAAAAAAAAAATCTAACAAATGAAACCCTACAGATTTACATATTTTCTCAAATTGTATTCATGCGTGTGTGTGTGTGTGTGTGTGTGTGTGTGTGTGTGCACGCGCAGTGGCCTTGGAGGCCAGAGAGAACAATGAAAACCCGGCCCTGGAGGTCCAGGTGTTTGTGAACCACCCCACATGGACCCTTTTGCAAGAGCAGCAAGGGCAAGGGTTATCTTCCTAGCCCCAAGATTTACATATTACTACTCATTACACACTGGGAGATCAGTGTCTTTTATGGCACAGAGAACTAAGAACTTACACTTGGAGCTGAAGGCACAACTGTTTATTGTTTACTTGTTTGTCTTCTGTAACTGAGCCAAAACTTGGGCCTCAGCTGTTCTAACCCAGGCTTCTGCAGTGACGGACTCAAGAGACATGGCTTGAGCATCTTAAGACTTCTGAGACAGTGTCTTCCCCCAGAGTCAGCACCAGCAGAGTCTGGTCTGACGCCGTCAATGACCTTGGTGTCTCATTGCATTCGCTAAAAACCACATGTGACTATAGGTGCCAGACTGTGAACTATTTAACAGCTGGATTATGGGTAAAAATGGCTTCAGTTACTTAGACTTCAAACTCCAGTGGACTGCTGGGAAGGCAACACTCATTTCAACTTTGTTAGTACTTAAAACCCAGAACTGACAACTTTTAAGGACACATAAGAGGAATGTGCGGCTGATCCTTTGAGATCTCAGGCTTAGAGTTGAAGATCTGAACCGGAACTGCCTCGACGGATACCATATTACTAGGCACAAGTACTGGTGCCCAGCGTCACTGGACCCTGAAATGTCCCTGAGCTCCTCACCTCTGTCTCCCACTGCTCATGGAGAACTGTCCGTCTTCTCACATTTCACATAAAGACAATAAATTAAAATGCTTTTGAAGAATCCCTTTCCCTTTTTTGATTGGAAAGATGTCTTGATCTGCTCATTCAAATACATTTCTCAGTTCATGGGATTTTTTTCTCAAGTATTTAGCTTTAAATAGAAATGTAGTTACTCAGGGGGTGATGGTGCACACACTTAATGCCAGCATTTGGGAGGCAGAGGCGTGGGGGGGTGTCTCTGAGTTTGAGGTCAACCTGGTCTACAAAGCAAGTTCCAGGATAGCCAGAGTTGTTACATAGAGAAATTCTGTCTCAAAAAACAAACAACCCCCCCAAAAAAAATCAAAGAAAGAATAAATAATGTGGTCTCTTACAGTATTGTAAAGTTTGTCAAACTCTGCATATCTCCTGAAGACAAACCACTCGCTTCTGCCCACAGACACTAGAACTTTATAAACCTGTGGAAAGAAAAAGAAAATGATGCAATTTAACAAATTTTAACTGCAAAGAAACCATTGGCTGTTTAAGTAAATAAAAACTGTCTTCATATTTGTAAAACTGGTTTCTGCTCGTATGATTATCCAAGATAAAAAAGCATGCCAAGTGAAGCACAAGTTTCATCTTGTCCATTTCTTTGTTGTTGTCCTAGCAATATTAGCTACTCTTTACTCTTGGATAATTTAGCATTCACATTTTAAATTTTATGTAACGCCTCCTTTGTAACAAGCTTTAAACACACACACGCACACACACACATACACACGCGCACACACACACGCATACACACGCACACACACACGCACACACACACACACGCACACACACACTAATGCAAACTACAATCTGAAAGGTCTTCCATCCTGAAGAGCTCATTACAAAGAAGGCAAGAAAGGAACATTTGACTATGTAGCTCTAGTAAAATACAGCACTGACGGTCATGAAAGTTCTGTTATTTTCAGAATAACCGCGGATATATGAATGTGCTCCCTACCAGAGCTACCTGAATTCTAACAGTTTGCCATTCTTGCCTCATATTCTCTTTTCTAAGAATAAAGAACTACAGACCTAACGGATGCCACTTTCATACGTACCAGCTCTCCAGGCCTTGAAATAATAAGTATTTTCAAAACAACCCCTGACCCATCATAAACACTTACTACTGCTTCTTTTCCTCCAGACCATCTTTGACACACTAGTTTTCAAATAAAAATCATATCCTTACATTTTCCTAACACCATTGTACAAATGTGTCTAATGCCTTCATATACAGCCTCGTTTAATCGTGAGCAACAATCCTATGAGGCAAGCAGAGTTATAACCCCTACTAGATGCGAGAAAATGTCAGTCAAAAAGTTGATTTACTTAAAATCAAAACCCTTGGCTGTAGTTGGGTATCCAACTTTGACTACAATCCGGATCATTTACTCCCCCTGTATATTAGACCTGGCATTAAATCAGCAGCAGGTACAGAATTAACTTTCACAGTTCAGTCCAAAGACATAAGTCCACATTCTACAATGAATTGTGAAGAAAGAGTTGGAGAACCCAAAGATGCTATCATTTCTAACAAGAAAATAACAATAACTAAAGTATATGAAGACAGAGTTTCTGGTGAAGGACTTGGGTTATAAACCAACTTTTATAGTGATAACTAGACATGTCTTGCTTCAGGTGACTTCCTACACCTGTGCGCACAGTCTTTTAGTGTCAGAGAAAAGCAGGGTCATCCCAGACAACCACACAGACATGTACAAATCACCCTATTCCACAAAAGGTAGCTAATTCACATCTACACATTCATACTAGATAATACCGTGAGTTCTGATATTTTGTGATATACCGTATAAGTGGCTGCATTAACAGGGCCCTTGGGTATACAGCCATATTAAAGCTGTATCTTTCTTTGAGAGAAGCAATGAAGGCTGAGGGGAGTCAAGGCAAAGGCTTGGTACCAGTCACCTGGGAAGGCATGTGTTACTCAGATGAAGGACAACAGGGCTTAGTCCCTGGAGCTATCGATACTGAACAGGCAGAGGGCTGGTTTATAGTCAACTGTTGGTTCATGGTGTCAAATACACTTCAGATGTCAAAAAAGTTTGTTATTTTCAGAGAATAACCAGGGACATCCCTTTACAGGTAAAACTATGCAAAACTACTGAGTTTGTGTCAGCAATAAGGAGGAGACTCGGCCAAGCGCCAGGCTGTCGAGTCTCCTAACTAGGAGATGCGGAAGCAGCACTAACACAGAGAATGGACCCTGGTCTATGTGACAGGGGCATCTCGTACTGGTTTTCTGGTGAAGATACAGAAGAGGGAGGAGGGCTGTCTCCCTTAGATACCCAACTACAGCCAAGACCACAGCCAAGTCTGGGTTCAGGACAGAGTCTCGGGAGCAAACCATACACACACACACACCATTAAATAAGTTTTAACAACAACAACAACAACAATAAAATGAGTGGGCAAAACAAAAAGAAACTTTCATATCAAAAGAATTTTTTTTTAAGATTCTTAAAGTTTTTTATTTTCCATGTAAGAGCACCTGCATATGTATCCTAGTGACCTCAGGGGCCATGAAAGATATTGGCTCTTCCAGACCTGGAGCTGAAGATGGTTGTGAGCCACCACGCTGGTGCTGGGAGTTGAACCCAGGTCCTAGGGAAGAGCCGCCAGTACTTGTAACCTCTGAGCCATCTCTCCAGCCAGGTAATTCTCATTAAACTTACACTAACTCGATTTTAAGCTCTCATGAAACAATATTGAAGGAAGGCCTTCCTCAAATGACCTTGCATTTCACCAGGCAAGGCATTCAGAATAAGATAAATATATTGAGAGCTGGCTACGTACACACTAGGTAAGGTAAGTAGGATAGCAAAGGAAAGTAGTGTGGAGTGAGGAGGTGCTACTTTGTATTTTAAGTGGTTACATACACACAAAGGCTCCTACTGGGAAACACTTGGGCATCTGAGGGAAGGAAACAAAGAAGATGACCTTTCACAGGGACCCTGAAACCAGGGCACAGCATGGAAATACCAGGCCGTGGCAGAGGCTTCCTGACTTTCACAGATGGTGTGGAAGCCTCTCTCCCTGAAAAGAGCAAAGGACACCTAACTTAATCCATCACTGTCCACACAGTAGGAACGTCTGCCAAACTTGATGGGAGGCAAAGTTCCCGAAGGACAAAATAGCCCAAAGGTAGAGAACAAGGAGAAAAGGAAGGACTATATTGCATACACTCCATATTTTATCCAAGATAGAATAGTCCTCGCTGACCTTCAAGGTAGCACTGCTAAAAATACGCTTATATAAACGTATTAATAAGCATGTACTGTTTAAGATACTGTTGTTAAAACATACACTGTCACACACACTCACAGATAAACACACTTTGCAACCTAGAGGCTAAGGAGAGACGAACAGTCAGATACACACTCTAACCTCTCTGTATCAATGCAGGAGGTGTGTTTGTTTAGGAGGGGAGAACAAAGCCAGTGACCACATCTAGGACCTTAAGAAAGAGCTACCATTTGGGGTTACCTCTGCAAGTTAGTAAGGCAGAAGACAGTAGTTGGAGTAGTTAGCTTAAGATTTCCGCTCTTCTCAACTCCCATGTGAACATGGATTTGAGTTGAAAGTCACTTGTCACAGGGCTCAACGGCAAGGATCCAGTGACCTACTTGTTACAGATGAGGGATGGCCCCTAAAGGGGTCTGATGAGCAATACTGAGAACAAAGGCACTGCATTAGTCCCATGAGACACCATGGGGCTTCTAGTCACACCAACAGAAGATATTCTTATCACCCCGCAATGGCAGAGGCCAGCTAAAACACCGGTTAGAAGTCCAGGCTGCATCATGTCTGCCATAGCTATCTTCTAGAAGGCAATTAACAGCTGGAACATTACAGATGTGCAGGGATGACAAGAAGGAAGCCACAGAGACATGTACTCCACGAGTACTCTGAAAATGGACACCCTTCCCCCTATAAACCAAAGTGTAGACCACGGTGTGGCGCGTGCTCAAGCAGGATGACAGAGTAAGACAGCCTGAGCATCCTAACCTGGGAGAAAGTAAGTAGAGAACAGAGCTGAAGTCCAGCCAACGTCTTCGTACTGCACAGCAGCCTGGGACTAAACACGACAGTGGGTCTCGTTATACTAATAGGACATGTCTGCTCTCAGCTGGAGGGGTGATTCAGAGGTCACGGTGACCTGTTGTAGGGCTGGAGAGATGGCTCAGCACGGGGGGCATTCTAGAGGGCCCAGACTTGGCTCCTATCACCCACATGACAGCTCATAACCACCTGTAAACTCCAGTTCTAGGGGATCCTTTTTCTGGCCTCTGAGGGCACTAAACTGTACACAGACATACATGCAGGCATCTATCTACCTACCTACCTACCTACCTACCTACCTACCTATCTATCTATCTATCTATCTATCTATCTATCTATCTACCTAATCTATTTACATATATTATATGTACATGCATAAAGAAAATGAAAACTATTTTTAAAAGACTGCTTGTGCAACTGAGTTTGTATCCTAGAACTATGTAACAGACTGTGTTCTGCACACATCTGTAATTCAATCTCTGAGGGAAGGCAGAGATTCAGTAACTAAGAAAACAAAAGACCCAGGTGCAAGAAGAGACTCTGCCTCAAAGGGATGGGCACAGAGTGATGGAGGAGGACACCTGAGGATACCTGACTACTTTAGGGTTAGGATCCTCTACAGGCCTGTATGTGCACATATGCTACACGAACGAACGCACGCGCGCACGCACACACACACACACACACACACACACACAGAGGTTTTAAAGAGCTTATGTCCCAGTAACAGTCACTGATAACGCTACTAGCACATACTCATTGTGCCTATTGCTTATAAAACCCTCCCTCCAGCAAATACTATGGCACAAAAACAAAATCAGGAAGGTCTTTACCTTTAAGGTGAAAAAAGAGGAAAAAGGAAACATTTTAAAATGTGGCAGAAAGTAATTAAATACCATGAGACAGCATGGAAATTTCAAGACAGTAGTCCTTACCATGGACTCAACAGTGTGTACAAACTATAGTGCACAGGCAGTGTCTATATACAAGCATCTGTCGAGAGAGCACATGAGCCTCATAAAATTCCCCAAAGGGACTGGTAAATAGGCAAAAATATGCACTATAAAAGACAATTACTGTTACAGTAGCCAACTGATGTGGGATTCCCCTCTGTATGCTGTGAATACCATTGGTTAATAAAGGACTGCTTTGAGTCTATAGCAGAGCAGGGCAGAAAGAGCTAGGTGGGGAAAACTAAAGTGAATGCTGGGAGGAAGAAGGGCAGAGTAAAGAGAAGCCATGTAGCCCCTACGGACACAGATGCCGGAACTTTATCTGGTAAGCCACAGCCTCATGGTGATACACAAATTAATAGAAATGGGTTAATTAAGACACTAGAGCTAATGGGCCAAACAGTTATTTAAATAATACGATTTCTGTGTGATTGTTTCGGTTCTGGCCGGCTGGGACAAACAAGCAGCCTCCTTACAACAGCCAAAGAGGGCTCTGTGAGGACAGCTCATTCAAAAAAAGCAGAACCTGGACATGTGGAGGGAAGGAGGCGGATTCCTGGTTAGGAAGAACACAGGCAGAGTGGAAACATTCGCTGTACTGACTCTCTTAAGCTTCCTGCTATGCACTTACCGTGAACCTTTTCTTTTTCTCTCTATGTTCATCAGAGCTGGGGATGCTCACACTTGGGCAGCTCTCCTTGCAGTCCATGGTACAATCTCTCTGCATGTAATGTCTTGAAGGACACAGAAACTGAATCCGAAGTTTCAAAGTTCCCAGCAGAGGGTAAAGACGATTAACTAATCCAAAATATGAAACCTCTTGAGGCAATGGTCAAACTCCATCATGGAACCTTAAACAATAGGAAAAACCACAATTAATAAACTAATTAAAAAATAACATTATGAGGCTGCAGAAATAGCTCAGCAGTCAAGACAGTTGTCTGTTCTTAACACCAGCTTGGCTCTTCGGAGGACCAGCGTCCACGGCACAAATATCAGGGACTCAAAACTTCCTTATGTCTCCAGCTCCAGAGTATCTGATGCCCTCATCTGTTTTTTGAAGGCAATTGTGTGCAACAAATACATGTATGTATGCATGTATGCATGCTTCATCCGGAGATGGAGGGATGGTTCAACAGACAAAAACCAATAAATATAATCTACTATATAAACAAACTGAAAGAACTAAAACCAGACCCCCCCAAAAAAACCCCACATGATCATCTCATTAGATGCAGAAAAAGTCTTTGACAAAATCCAACCCCCTTCATGATAAAAGTCCTGGAGAGATTAGGGATACAAGGGACATACCAAAACATAATAAAGACAATAATCAGCAAGCCAACAACCAACATCAAATTAAATGGAGAGAAATTCAAAGAAATTCCACTAAAATCAGGAATAATATAAGGCTGTCCACTCTCTCCGAATCTATTCAATACAGTGCTTGAAGTCTCAGTTACAGAAATAAGACAACTGACCTGGAGGCGGGGAAGGAACGTGAACTTCCCATAGGGCAGGAAACCCTGACTGCTTAGGACTGGAGAGGGAGGAGGAGAGGGAGTGGGGGGGAGGAGAGGGAGTGGGGGGAATGAGAGGGTATGGGGAGGTGGGGAGGAAGTGGAAATTCTTATAAACAAATAAATAAATTAATTAAAAAAAAGAAAGAAATAAGACAACTGAAGGAGATGAAGGGGATACAAATGAGATAGAAAGAAAGAAAGAAAGAAAGAAAGAAAGAAAGAAAGAAAGAAAGAAAGAGAAAGGTCAAAGTATCTTTATTTGCAGATAGTATACATAAGTGACCCTAAAAATTCCACCAGGGAACTCCTACAGCTGAAAAACACCTTCAGTAATGTGGCGGGATACAAGATTAATGCAAAAAAATCAGTAGTTCTTCTACATACAAATGGTAGACTACGAGAAATCAGGGAAACAACACCCTTCACAACAGTCTCAAATAATAAAAAATATCTTGGTGTAACTCTAACCAAGCAACTTCAAACTTCTTTTATGACAAGAATTTCAAATTTCTGAAGTAACTGAAGAAGATATCAGAAAATGGGAAGATCTTCTGTGCTCATGAATGGGTACGATTAACTTACTAAAAATAGCCAACTTAACAAAAGCAATCTAGTCTACAGATTCAACACAATCCCCATCAAAATTCTGTCACAATTCTTTACAGGCCATGAAAGAACAATTCTCAGCTTCACTTGGGATAAAAACAAAACAAAACAAAAACCCCAGGATAGTTAAAACAATCCTGTATAATAAAAGAACTGCTGGGAGGTCTTCTTGAAATCCCTCATCTCAAGTTGTACTGCAGAGATAGAGCAATAAAATAACAGCATGCTATTGGCATAAAAATAGACATGGGGTCAATGGGACTGAACTGCAGACACAGACAGTCCACACACCTATGGACACCTGATCTTGACAGAAAAAAAATGCCAGAAATACATACTGAAAAAAAGATAGATCTTCAACATATGGTGGTAGTATAACTGGACGTAGCATTTAGAAAATTCAACTCCAAATGGATCAAGGACCTCAACATAAAATCAGATACACTGAACCTGAGAGAAGAGAAAAAAAGACCAAGCCTTGAATGCACTAATACAGGAAGGACTGGCTGAACAGAACACCAGTAGCACAGGCACTAAGATCAACAATTAATAAACAGGACCTCACAAAACTGAGACGCTTCTGCACAGCAAAGGAGCGGCCTGCAGAATGGGAAAGGGGTTTTTCCAACTCCTCATCCCATAGAGGATTAATATCCAAAACATATAAAAAAACCCTCAAGAAACTAGTTATCAAATAAAAAAAAACAAATAATACATTTTAAAAATGAGGTACAGATCTAAACAGAGAACTCTCAATAGAGGAAACCCAAATAGCTGAGAAACACTTAAAGAAATGTTCAACATCCTTAGCCATCAGGGAAAGGCAAATCAAAATGACTCCAGGATTCCATCATACACTTGTCAGATTAGCTAAGATCAAAGACACAAGTGACAGCTCATGCTGTTGAGGATGTGGAGCAAGGGGAACACTCCTCCACCGCTCGTGGGAGTGCAAACTTGCAGAGTCACTACGGAAATCAATATTGTGGTTTCTTAGAAAGACGGGAACCAATCTACCTCAACATCCAGCTATCCCACACCCGAGCCTATACCCAAAGACCGCGTCATCCTACCACAGAGACACTGCTCAATTATGTTCACCGCCGCTCTATTCATAAATTGCCAGAAAAAAAGAAAAAAAATAAATACCCAGAAACTGGGAACAGCCTAGATATCCCTCAATAGGAGAATGGATAAAGAAAATGTGGTAAATTTACACAATGGAGTGTCATTCAGTTGTAAAAACAACATCATGAAATTTTCAGGCTAATGGATAGAATTTAAAAAAAAATCATCCTGCATGAGGTAACCCACAGCCAAAAAGATAAATATGGTAGGTATTCACTTATATGTGGATATTAGCTATTAAATAAATGATTATCAATCTACAATCTGTAGACCTAGAGAGGTTAGGTATAAAGAAAGGGACGGGGTGTGTGTGTGTGTGTGTGTGTGTGTGTGTGTGTGTGTGTCACATGAATCTCTCTGAGAGGGGGAAATGGAATAGATTTTATAGATGGAGTGAGGGTGGGGTGGGGCAGATGGGAACTGGAGGATCAGGTTGAGAGGGGGAAGGGAGATGGCACTGAGGGAGGGAATGCAGGGAGGGACAGCTAGTACTGAGGGGCATGTGAGGGCTGGTATGGAAACCTAGTGCCATGGAAACTTCCTAAACTATATGAAGGCGCTCCTAATAAAGTCTCCAAATAATGAGGGAAACTGAGTCCCAGCTGGTCATCTCTTGTCACCAACCGAAGCCTCTAGTACTAGTACTAGGTTACATACATACATTGTTGGCCAGTGGGGTCACATGGAAATCCCCAAACAACTTGGGCTGTTGCCAAGACAATGGGTTGCTCTCCATAAACTGACAGCAAGGACCACCCCTGAAGATAACAACCACACAATTGACTGTATATGGAGAGGTCAGGCTAGTGCCTACACAGAACCTTCACCCCAGTTCTAGTGTTTGCAGTAAAATACTCTTCAGGATACCAAAAGAGAAATGTAAACAAGCCAGCCACAAAACCTTTGATCTACAAGCTTCCTGCCTGCAAGAAATGCCATGGCAATGGTGGCACAAAATTTGTGTGTGGGAGTAACCAACCCATGTCTGATCTGACTTAAGGCCCAGGCCATGAGATGAAACCCACACTCAACAGTGCTTGGGTGACCAAGAAACAGAGACCAGATAGCTCAGAGACTTGGGTAAAACCAAATAGTATTAGTCCCCCCAAAAAAAAAAATGTAGCGATAAAACAACTCCTAGTGATATTTTGCTACATTCATAGATCAGTGCTGTGTTCAGCCATTATCAGAGAGGCTTCCTCCTGCAGCAGAGGAACAAATACAGAGCCCCACAGTCAGACATGCAGAGAGAGAGCGAGAGAGAGAGAGAAACTTTGCAATACACAGCTCTAAAGAGAATGTCTCCATCAAATCCCTCCCGTCACAGCTCAGAGAACCCTGATAAAGAGTGTGTGAACCAGAGGGGATGAAGGACACCAGGAGAACAAGGCCCTCTAAATCCTCTGAACAAAGCCCATATGAACTCTCAGAGACTGAAGCAGCAAGCACAGGGCCGACAGGGTCTGCACCAGGTCCTTGGAGTGTATATTATAGCTTTCAGTTTAGTATTTTGTAAAACTCCTGAGAGTGGGAGCGAGTGGGTCTCGGATTCTAGTGCCTTCTCTTGGGGCTCTTTTCCCTTTGTTGGTTTGCCTTGTCTAACTTCAGTGTGATGGGTTTTGTTTTAATTTGTATTTTATTTTGTTATGTTTGGCTGTTATCTCTTCCAAGCCTGTTCTCTTCTAACGAGAGACAGAAAGGGAGTGGATTCAGATGGGAGGAGGTGAGGAGGAAATGGAAGAAGTGGAGAGAGGGAAAACTGTAATTCAGATATACTGATTGATAAAAGACCCTAATTTTAGTAAAAGGGGAAAAGATAAAAATGGGGCACATATTAATAAGTGATAGCCCTTCTACGGAGGGTGAGGATGGAACAATGGCATGCAAGGCGTCACAGGATGCGTGCGGACAGATGACAGAGTACTAGAAATCCAAGCGGCTGATGAGATTGTAACAAGGGCTGGGATTACTTCCAACTGCTCTGGAACGTGTACACAAGGCAAATGACTAGCTGAATGTGGTTGCTTTATAGTCTTTAATTTCTTCTAGCAGCCAGAAGATAGGACTAAGAATAAGCGCCAGAGTTTAATGGTAACTGGTGAGGAGCATTTAAACAAGCAACAATGTAGTCTTAGACGCTCCCATAAGGGCTCTAGTTGGTAAGCAGACTGGATGTGGGATGCAAGCATTGGGGCAACATGATTGAGGCTCAGAATGCTGGCCTCCAACTCCACTCAACTGAACTTCTCAGCTCAATGGAGATACCAGACCTCCTATAGGGACATCCAGGTCTCCAGAGTCTTTCCATCCCTATGCTCCATGCGACCCTTTCAAGTTGTTTTTCAAGATGCCAATTCCCCTCAGTCGTGTTTGTAGTGACATTTTGTTTATGAAAACACAAACAAAGCTTGCCCGAAGATCAGAATGCAGAGCTAAACCACTAGAGGCCAGGGAGTGGTGGCACACACCTTTAATCCCAGGACTCAGGACACAGAGGCAGAGGGGTTTCTGTTAGTTCAAGGCCACCCTGGGCTACACAAGACTCAGTCTGTCTAAAAGAGAAACAGAGCTCACACAAAGGTGGTGCCAGCACT